TACATCTCTGCAACTGTTTAAACCACACTGTACTCTGTGTGTGTGTGTGTGTGTGTGTGTGTGTGTGTGTGTGTGTGTGTGTGTGTGTGTGTGTGTGTGTGTGTGTGTGTGTGTGTGTGTGTGTGTGTGTGGTACTCACACATACTTCAGCAGAACTGCCTGGACTTCCATCCCTGAGGACTTCCATCTGCAGGAGGGAGCCAGCGTATCTAAACACAGAGAGACATTTAGTTAAATGCAGTTTATATTAACACACTTTCATTCAACATTACAAAAGTTTATTTTTTAATCAATAAGGAAAATCTGCTGTTAGCCTAGTTTAGCTTTTCCACTTGACGGCACTCAATGAAGGGCTAGCTTTTCCCCCCCATTTCCAGTCTTAATGCTAGGTTAAGCTAACGGCTGCTAGTTGCTATTTCATTAACATTACAAAAGCGGCTCTTTTAATCAAAAAAGGGGAATGGGCTGTTTGCTACGCTTAGACAAGGCTAGCTCTTTCCCTCCATTTTCAGTTTTATGCTAAAGTTGGCCATCTGCCGCTAGCTGCAGATTATTCTGTACAGATATGTGGTACAGTGTGGATGCATTATCTAACTTTCAGAAATAAGCGAATACATGTGTTTGCCAAAAATATTCCTTAAGGTTAGAAAGCTTTTTCCTTTTAGATGATTTTAGTCCTTAGTTTTTAGTGTGTGTGCGTGTGTGCGTGTGTGCGTGTGTGCGTGCGTGCGTGCGTGCGTGCGTGCGTGCGTGCGTGCGTGTGTGTGTGTAATGCCAGCTCAGCAGATTCATCTCTCTTTCATATCATATTCTGACATCATGTGAGCTTCTGCTGTAGTCTCTCTGCTCTGGGCCATTCCTCTTAGATAATCTGAGTCTCTGCATTTTATTTATGTGGAGATGTTCTCCGCAGAGATGAAAGACGTTACTGTAACCCAGATTCTGGAACAAAGCAGAAATAAGAACTCATCAGGGTCAGGCTCCATGAGAAGAAACTCACCGATCGATAATGAACTGAGGTATGAACTCACAGAGGAACGCTGCAGATTAGAGGCCTCGATAACCGGAGAACAGAGGCTTTAATTAACCGAGAGAGGGGGCAAACCATGATAATTAAGAAAGTGGAGGGGGCAAACCACGATGCAAACACTCAGATGTGTGCATGAGGCTGTGATCGGCTAAATACAGTGACACCGTGAGAGTCATAGTCAGCATTTGGTGATCATCAACCCCTCTGGGTGGTGTGTCTGAGGCAGCAGCTGTGATAGAGGTGGTGGAGGGGGAGGGGAGGGGGTGGTGCAGGTTACCTGAGCGTGCAGCGAGGAGGGGTAGGTGAAAGCGGGTGGCAGTGCCTGGGACAGCTCCGCCGGGTACAGCGGGTATGACGCCCACACATCAGGGCTGCTGGGATAGAGACCGGGCACTGTGAGCTCATCTGTGGAGAGAGAAGAGGAGGGTGAGGAGGGGGAGGGTGGAGGTGCACTACAGCTGAAGCAGCTGCCCCTCGCTACTGACGCCTAGCAGGTCAGAGAGAATTCAGTGCAGTGGGGGGTACAGGTTATTCAGCGCTTTCTGTTCCATTTGATTAAACTCAGATACGCGAGTTAGCATCATGTAGCTGAAAGTGAAAACATTCAATATGTAAGCGAGGCTACCAAACAGCAGGACGCTGAATCTGACACTGTTTTTTTTGTTATACCGCCAATACTGGGACAATTTATTCTCCGTTAACTTTCATCCGCTCTAGGGTGCTTCCACATTGCCGTACTATGTGTTGGTACTTCCTGTTAAAGATTAATTGCTGTTACTTTGCATAGCAACGCCAGCTTTATCATCCTTTAATTACCAAAGCAACCTTTTTTAAGCTTTAGAATGAACTGTCGTTAAGTTGTATCAGTTGTCCCTCTGTGTCTGGAGAGGAAAACGTGTTTCTGTTGTTATTGTAAAGTGTCTCGTGTGAGCAGGGACACCTTTGAGGCGTAGAAACACTGACTGAGTGGGGGCAGGGATCTCAGACAGTGGATGATTTTCCCCTAAACCCAGTGAAGCTGATGTTATTCAGGGGAAACTGAGAGGAATAGTCTGATGTGATGATTGACTTATTGAAGCGAGTAAAGAAGGAGCAGCGAGGTGACAGTGCAGAGTGGTACAGAGTTAAGAGACCCTCCTGCTCTCAGTGTCAGAAACCTGGCTGATATTTAAACATCTCTTATCAGGAACAACAGAAACTCTCCCAGTGGTTACGTCATGGCTTCATTAATCCTTTCCTTCCATTCGCACTGATACACACTCTTTCTCCCAGATAAGAGTGGTGGTCATGGAGGAGGAATGTACCACCACAGCTGGCCTGTGTTCAGCATGTTCAACTATCAACACACAGTCCCTGACCTCAGAGAAATATTTAACTAAAGAGAACAGAGCAGCACAAACACTGGTACAGAGAGGCCTGCAGCTCTAATAATGAGAGGTCAACAGCTGATCAATCATTCATCACATCCAGTTAACCATCAACACAGAGAGCATTCAGATCAGTGTGTTCAGTGAGGAACACACACACACACTTGGGTATACTCACAGGGGTCTCTGCTGATGAACTGGGGCCCGGGGCTCTGCTGGGAGGGGAGGGGGTTGGGAGTGCCCACCAGCTTGTTCTTGGCCATCTTGGTGTTGGCCTTGGCGAACTCCAGCCGGAGGGTCTGAGGGATCTCTGGATCGAACCGGACCCCCTGTCAACATACAGCGGCAGCTTTATACATCCGTTTATCCTCAGAGAACAACAATCTCAAGTATAAAAACACTCGTGGATCATTGCATCATGTTTTAAGATCAGGATCACAAAAAAACTACTAGTTGGGATTATTTATAGCATGATGGGAGGGTGTAGCATGGTAGGGGAGCGTGGGAGGTGTGGAGTCTATTTGTATATAACATTACAAGAGTGATTCTTATTATTACATTATATGCTCATTGTGCTCATGAGATGTTGCTATGACTTTGGAATAAATAGACACAATCACCAATCCCAGGTTCTGATGGGTTGGATACGAAACGAAGGGAAAAGTCATAGAAGAAAGTTTAGCTGCTTAGAAATGTTTCAAAGACCAGGTGCAGACACTGTAGAGACAAAGAGTTATTGAAAACAGGAGATCGCCCTGGCCTTGAACAGTGTGTGTGTGCTCCTCACCTACATACTGGGAACTAGTATAATGGAAGATTCCCAATATCTATTGCAAAGCAGCTTCAGCAAAACAAATTACGTAGGATAGCGACTAGAGTAGGGAGGGAACCTTCACAGAACGGCCGAATGCTGATTGGAGGTTGTGTTGCCAAGAGACTTTGTCTAAGTCTGTGCACCAACAAGGGAGGCCAAAGTCTAAACCATGGTCCTCCCCATCTAGTCTCAACCAATCCTAAATGTACGGGCAGTGTCCTGCATAATAAAATGTATTTGCGCACGAAGGCTTTTTTCCGGAAATAGAGTTACAGATTACAGCTCTGCTGCCTGTGATTTCTATGACCTGACGGAGTCGTTGGCCAAGTGAAATATATCTTTTGCTCTCTTTTAATAAATAGTTGAACTTAGAAGTTGTTTGTCTTTCCTGGAATAAAAGAACACAACAGCGGTTGTACATGTATCAGAGATACTGGAGATCTGAATCACATAGTAGAAACAATAATTATGAATTGACTAGTCACCAATTTGGCAATAGCTTGCTGGATAGCTATCATTCATAGCTGGATAGCTATCATTCGTTAGTTAGCTTGTTAGATGGGTAGCTAATGTAAGCCAGCTAACTAGAAAGACAGATAGTTAACATTCGCTAGTTAAAGTTTGCTAGCTAAAGTTCACTAGCTAAAGTTTGTTAGCTAAATAGCACACTGAGGGTACTTGAGTTGGATCTCTAGATTTCTTTTTTTATAAATGTCAAAACTTTGGACCGTTGTCTGCCCTTCTTGCAGTGAGAGTTATTATAAACTGTCCATATGAGCTTTAGTATGCAGTCTGATCAACAGATATGTTTTGGTACTTTTTGTAGCTCCTGATACAACCCAGTCTCACGGCATTTCGTGTTATAGTCACAAAATTAATTTAATCTATTGATTCGTGTTCACCAACACGATTTTCGCCTTTTTTTCGTGTCACACAGAACGATTTTAAAAGCAATGTATTTCTATTGGTAGTATGTTTCGTGCCTGCAACACGTCTTTTTGTCCGGTCGGGTCTTGGAAGACCAGAAGCTGTGTGGTTCATAAAAACATTTTCTTACTCAATATCTTACCCTAAGCCTAACCCTATCCCTTTTTATTTTAAATTGTATAATGTCTGAGTTTTTTTGCCGTCCGTGAGGAAAAGAAATGGCTCAGAGCCTCAGAATACTGAAATCTGTATTTTATGTCATCTTTTTTTCCTTCTAATTTGTTATTATTTGGTGCAGGCACGAAACATACTACCAATATAAACACATTGCTTCTAAAATCGTTCTGTGTCAGAATACTTAAATCTGTATTTTTTTAAATGTCTTTTTCCTTCTAATTTGTTATTATTTACATTGCTTTTAAAATCGTTCTGTGTGACACGAAAAAAATGGCGAAATCGTGTTGGTGAACACGAATCAATAGATTAATTTCGTGACTATAACACGAAATGCCGTGAGACTGTGTTGCCTGATAGCATGGGCTAGCTACACCACAAGACACTACAGAGTTATTAAAAATGTCCTGAGATTTTGGGCTATTGTCATATGTCATCCTGCAGTCACTAACCGAGGATGGATGTTTCATAATTTACAGATTTCTGATTGTTTGAATAATTCCTGCAAGGCGTCACAACATAGGCTATTGTTCCCAGTGAACATAAGACGAGTTTGTTTTGAGACATTTTGCATGTCTCCTGGAATTTCCCCATTTTTGGAGGAGTGTTGAGCACATGATGAAGCTGCAGACGTCACACATTAGTAACAGCAGCAACACAATGAATCACTGAATGCATCGCTGCAGTGCAGAAAGGCACTCTATAGGAGGTGATGAAGCAGATTCATGTAGTGATCATGCATGTCTTCCTGCTGCTGCTAAGACTTGTTGTGTTGTGTAGATGCCCAGTGGGACCTGGCTAATATCTGGAACATTTGTTATACTTTTCCATTTCTGTAACATATTCACCACTGGCCATGACACATTGGAAGCATCCCAGCTTAAAAAGAGCAACAAATGTTGTCAAATAATGGAGATGCCGACACTACTCCTGAAACACCCAGCTCATGATGAGTGGAGGAAAGGTTTCTTTCTCTTTCAGTGTGCAATACTTAAAAACTCTAAATCATTTGTCTTCTCAGTGCCTGTGGCCTGAGGAGAAAAAGGAACATTAACAGAAGTCTTCCTCATCAAAACACAGAGTGGCCGTCTGTCTGCAGGAAGCTTGTCTGACGGTCCATAAGAAGGGCAGATCTGAGGAGAGAACAAGAACTCCTCACCTGGGGGGGTATATACTGTGCTGAAACTCCTCATGTGGGGGGGGGGTATTAAGTGGGATTGTCCTGGCTCAGCGCCTCAGTGCTGCTGCAGAGGTGTAATAAGTTTTGAGGAGATAATGAGTCCGGTCTCCACCTCGCAGAGTTCTACTGCACCCCCTCCCCTTCCTTCAGTTTTATTTCCCATATTTCAATATGCAGATGCAGAATCTAGCTTATCTCCATATATACGACCCGGGGGACGCAGCTTTCCCTGAAAAACACGAGGCGTTCAGCTCCCAACCCCTCTGAGTGACTCTGGAAACAGACGCTCTATTGTTGGAACATAATTTATCTTTTCTTTCTGTCCTGCCTTTGATATCTCCAGATCTGACACAGTCACACTTTAAGCAGGATGAGAAACTGTTTCACAGGCTTAAGAATATGAGAACATATCTGTACACCTTAAATAACACAATGGGAAAATAACAGAAAGACAGAGAAGATTTCATATCCTGCCTCATCAAGGCCACTTTCTGCAATAACAGAGCTTAAAATTAAACCCTGGATCAATATGTGGTGGTTAAATGAGCTGATGTTGACCTTGCAGCATGTTTCTTTGTTTACTCCAACAGAAACGTCTTTCTTTCTGCTTGTGATGGGTGGTGTGTGAGTGTGTCCTCCTGTTTAATGCGTGTGCACAGAGAGATGTGAGGGCACGACTTACGTTCAGGGCGTTCTTCGCTGCCTCGGCCTCTGATCTGCTGTCAAAGCTGACAAAGCCTACCGGCTGGGGAGAGACAGAAACACGCTTTAGGCAAAAACTGAGTCGGCACTTCTGTCTGAGTGACAGAGACATGGTTTTATTATTTGTAACACACACACACACGCACACGCACACGCACACGCACACACACACACACACACACACACACCCACCCACCCACCCCTCTCTCTGGTCTGTTTATAAAGAGAGGAAGGCTGGACGCTCACTTTGTCCAGCGCCCTTCATCATCCAGCTGAACTATGCCCAAATACGGGCATTTAGAGGCAAACAGAAGGGGGCCAAGAAAGAGCATAAAGAAAGGTTTAAAGGTGAAAATGAAAAATCTGTGTTATTAATATATTTAATATGAATGTGGAGCCTATAAGAGACTCATGTCATATCTCTAACTGCTGAAGATTTTAAAAAAGACTGCAGGGTGTGTGTGTGTGTGTGTGTGTGTGTGTGTGTGTGTGTGTGTGTGCGTGTGTGTGCGTGTGTGTGTGTGTGTGTGTGTGTGTGTGTGTGGGTGTGTGTGTGGTGTGCGTGTGTGTGCGTGTGTGTGTGTGTGTGTGTGTGTGTGTGTGTGTGTGTGTGTGTGTGTGTGTGTGTGTGTGTGTGTGTGTGTGTGTGTGTGTGAAATCTCTAAAAATGCTGCTCCCATGAGGCTCTGCTGCTGGTCCGTGTGATCTTGAGGAGGAGGAGGAGGAGGAGGAGGAGGAAAGGAGAAGAAAGATGAAAAAAGACGTGAGGAGGAGGAGGAGGCAGCGTAAGATGAATATAAATAGAAAGGTCTGGGATCGGGCTATATATGGAGACGACTGCTCAGGGACCGGGAGACGATCGATTGATTTACAGAAACTTTTTTGGAAGAAAAAACAAAGCGCACATCTGTCAGGAGGAAGGCGGCCATTATGAAGGAATGAGGGTCTCACTTATTAATTTAACAGGAACAACTTAAAGTGAACCCTGAGAACATCGCCTGCTTCAGGGAGTGGATTTTACTGAGAGTAGTGACAACACGGTACACTGCGGTACACAGTGACATCACTGTGACATCACTGTGACATCACTGTGACATCACTGTAACAGGGTGAAAAGTCAAGCATCAAGACGTTCAGGGGGTGTTAGTTGGGATACCCTCTATTTTAAGCAGAAATATATTAACTCTGCTAATTATCATGGGTGCTAATTGCCAGCATGCATGCACAAGGAAAGAAGTCCCATAATGCAGCGGGGTTTAGCTGTAGTCCTTTGTTCTTAGATTTGTGGTATTACTCTCGGCACTCTGTAATCGCTCTAAACCCTCGTAACGAGCTGTATGGAAACAGTGTAATGTGCTCCTGATCACTGACACCTGCCAGCCTGGCTCATTTTCAGTCCGTCCCCCCCACCCCCCAGGCAGCGTTGTCTCTGCTGCTGACACTTCAACCCCCCCCCCCCGATCCATCCCACCGGGGTCCAGTGTGTGACTGCAAGCAGACTCTCCACCGCCACAGGCAAGTCACTGCAACAGCTCAACCATCACCAAGATACTTCCTGACAGAGGTGCTAATCCGTCAGTGTCCCAACAGAAACACACACAGGGGAGGAAGAGGAGGTGTAAAGCACAGAGGAAGGTGTGACGTGCATCTGTACATACCTGTTTAGATGTGAGTTTTATCAAGGAGCCTTCATATCCCTGCAACACAGAGAGAACAGACTTTATTCAGCGTATGCTTCACCAGCTCTAGGGCACTTTCACAATGTCTTTTATGTGTTGGTATATCCAGTTTAAGCGTCATTGCTCTTACTTTTGCATAGCGTTGTCAGTTTTATCAATCTTTACTTGCCAAATAAACAGTTTTTAAGCTTTTAAATTAACCCTTATTAAGATATTACCGTTTTTTTAAGCAAGAAACTAACCATTTCGATTAGCAATATGTGATACTTTATCCAAAAACATTAGTTTGAGAATTTACAGCGATGTTTGGAGCTATGAGGAGCTGCTGGCTGTATGAGAGAACCCGGCCTGCTTAAAAAATATATAAACAATGTTTGGAGAATGACTCTCACTGCCTGAACGGTAGACACGGGTCAGAACTGTAAGACCATAGGATGTAAATAATAATTCTGATTGAAATTACCACCAACTTGGCGATAGCTAGCTAGCTAACTTTTGGGCCATTGACATATTCATCCTGCACTCACTAACAGAGGATTGGTGCTGTAAAACCCATGTGATCACTGCAGTGTATCTGTAAATGATGTCAGAAAATGTATTCTTTACAATAGTGCTAACCCTAAACCAGAAGAGCTAACACATAAGAGTTAGAACCAGGCAAAGCGGGGCGGGGCTATATAAGGTGAATATATATCATTTCTATAAAAACATTATTATTACAGATGTAATTGGACCTGATATAAACCATTTACCCACAGTACATACCATCAACATTTCTACATGCATAGCTGATGTGGCATTATTCCCTTTAAGCCACTAAAGTCCATAATGGTTGGGCGACGTTGCAGAAGGCTTGCAACTACCTCCAACATGCAGTGACCTGAAGTAACCTCTGATTCTGTGTGTGTGTGTGTGTCGGGACAGAGTTTCTGAGGTGAAGCAAACAGCTTTGTTTTTCTGTGGCAGGCAGCGTTTTTCCATGACACACACACACAGAGGTGCACTTCCTGTGGATAAGACGTATTGAAGCCGGGCTTTAGGAGCACTTGCAGCTCTGCCATGTTTCCTCACCATTCATGGAGTCCATGCAGAGAGGAGCTTCTAAGAATAGCTAAAAAAATACAAACATACCTTAAAAGGTCTGAAGAGGAGGTAGAGCTCGCGAGGCTTGATATCCAGCGGCAACCCACTGACGAAGAGCGTCCGGACCTGAGGAAGAGCAGAAGCAGAGCGAGTCATTGACCTACTCAGGTATTAATAGCTACCTGCAGACACAGAGCAGGTGAGAGTACGGTCTCTAAACTCAGCATCACATCTCAACTGTTCAACTCTCAGATGGAGCCATGCTAGGGAGTCACTGAGAGTGTGTTTGAACAGACTGAAGAAGGAAACCACATAGGGAGTAGTATATAAGTTATCATCATGTGTTGATGAATACAAGTAAACTCTAAGTAACACCTGCATTCATTACTTTCATTTTTATTTTAAACTGCATATGTAAGCAACAACCTGAAAGTGAACCCTACAAATAAAGTTGAAAATATAAAGATGTCAATGGCAAGAAGTAAGACAGGAAAGTAATGGAGACTTCCTGCCGCAGTTAAAAATACAGTTACACTATCATGAATGTCTGAAGGTAACAAAACTGCTATTAATCTCACCAATTAACAAATATCTATCTGATTTCTCTGATAGTTTATGGGAATATGATGTCATCAACAGCAAGTCGCCCATCTTTGGAGGAAACCAGCGACTGCAACCCGTTGACTTAACCTGTACAGCCCCAGAATGCACCGCGGTTCCCATTCCATGTAAGCGAAAATAAAAAGCCACTAATCAAACCTCATACATGGAGTTATCACCTGACTGAAGTTGGCTTGGTGCAGGCTGTGCGCAGTTAGACATCCTCACAATAATGACACAGTGTGTTGTAAACATGTGTTTACGACTGAATATAGAATAAAGAGCAGGTATGATTACACACAGCAGATTTATCAGACAGTCGGTACACACAGAGCTGCTGAGCTAACAGCATGCCTCATTCCCACAGGTAATCTGACTCCACACACACACACACATAACATCTTAGCAACTGAGAGGGGGGGGGGCAGACCTCCACCTTCACTATTACCTCACCTCAATCACACACTGACAGCAGAGAAAATCTATTTCATATAAAGAAAAATGTTTAAAAGGTGCAGAAAACACAGGCAGTGTTAAAGTGTGTTGGCTTGGCTCCGACTGTAAATCATATTACAGTAATGACATGTGGAGTGTTTCTACATGACGTGGTTCCAGCGTTTCCTCACACACAACATCTGAAGTCATCTCAGTTACTGCCAAACTCTGATTTAACCTCTGCAGACTGAACAATGGGACACTTCCTGACGTCAGCTGTTGTGATACACTAGTGTTTAAGTGTGTCGGTAACACTCCTGCTGTAGTGAAGTTTCCTGAAGGTCGCTCTGCACATGGACAGATAACACTGTGCCTCTGTTTTATTGGCTTTTAGGAGATATTGGTTTTACTGCTTCCTCGTGAGTCACATACCTCCATCTCCAAAGTGCTGAAAACCCACTGAATCATTGACCATGTATGGCGTGCGCTCACACACACACACAGCAGGATCATAAGCAGCAACAGGCAGCATGCAGTTCCCTGGCAACGCCTGAGCGGGGTGCAGCGGGGCGCGGAGCCCCCGGCCACAGACATCACTTCCTATTAGAGCCACTGCTGCAGCCATGCCCAGGAGATCAATGCACCTCCACCCACAGACCCACCTTTACTCCACCAGCTCTCTATCAGATGCCCTTCTGTTTCTATAGAATTTCGGCTTAACCCAAATTCAAATAAAAATGTAGAATTGTTTTATTAACCGATTACACACACACTGACCAGTAATGGATGTTCCCAGAATAAAATAACACATTGTACGTGATAGGCTAAGGGGTGGGAAATCGCTTAACAGTTGACCAATAACAACAGAGCCGAGCAAAGGCAGTATGAGAAAGAAAAAAGCTTTTTGAACATTAAAGCATGGAAACACGTCACAGCAGAGGCACTAAATACTAATATCAAAATTAGCACAATAGGGGCCCTTTAAACCAGAGAGCAATAATCCCTCAGCAATAAACTGAAATCCAGCCTGCCTGTTACAACAAACTATTGCCGTTATTATTAAACTATTCCCTTTGTTTTCACCTCCCAAAAAGTCGATTTGAAATGGAGTTTTTTAACTGAAACAAACCTGTCTGGTTGTCTTACTGCTGTCTGAAACTGTAAGGGAACCAAGCAACCAATACCATTTATATTAAACAAAAAAAGAGATTTCAAGACTCACAAAAATGTCCCTTTTCTCCATCACAGAATGCACTGTGTCTTTTTCTTGATTAATAAATTGGCCTTATTCATGTGTCGTTTGTATTCAGCATGTGTAAATGTGTTAAACCTTTTTCCTGAAAAGCCTCATTACGTTGCGCCGCTATGCGTGACTCTCTTAGATATCTGCTGCTACTTTAACGGAGCGTTATTTTGACCGCTAGTCTGGGCTGGGATGAGGGACGCGACCTTGGAGTGCCGTGAGATGATTACTGTGTGGTTCCTCCTCCAGAGTGTGTGTGATGGATGCAGCTCTGACCTTGAAGAGTAGAGGAGTCTACTGTAGCGTTGCAGAGGGAAATAAAGATGTGTGGCAGAGCTCAGAGCTACATTTCTACTAGCGTTGGCCTCTCTTTGTTCCTGCATGAGTTGGCTCTGCGTTATTAAAACCGTGGACTGACATGGCTCTCCATCATCCTCTCAGAACGACACACCCGCAGAGGTGTGGAGTGTGTGTTAATCTCTGCAGTCATGTTAGACCTGCGGGGTCACAGGTTAGTGTGCAGGTGAGAGGTCACCTGAGAGGCTGAACACACTCCAAACGTCACGACTGAACTGCTACAGCTCAGTTAATGTTCCAACAGGTTAACCTTTAAGAGACATTTCAACAAATGACCTCTGAGGAGCACTTCACTGCCTTTCTCCTTCATCCTGCTCAACAAACCAAACTGTGTGTTACTCACACACATGTGCTCTTTAGGAGTCACATGTATGACATAGAGTTCAACTCTTCCTCCTGTGTGTGTGCTTCGGTGCGTCTCCATGAAGGACTCACATTCCTCCACAGACTCATTAACTGAGCCCCTCCTTCACTGCCTTTGTTGGCGCCTGCCCAAGTGGATACCTTCCACTGTTTGCTCTTCAGGTTGGGTTGGCAGAGCGGTAAAGTGGAGACAAAAACACGAGACGGAGAGTGCATGAGGACGTGCATGAACCCGTCATGTGACCTGCTGCATCAGTGACTGCACTTTAACTACAGAGACAATATATTTCCTGTCTGACAATGTTTACTACTCAATCTGCCTCTTTCAAATAAAAATACAGATTAATATGCACACAGCGGACGTTCTTCCGCATTGTCTTATTATGTGTTAGTCCTTGCTGCAGATCTCCCTTGAAAAAGAGATCGTTGATCTCAATGGGATTTTTCACCTGGTTAAATAAAGGCTACAAACAAACAGTTAAAGGGTAATTGCTATTGCTTAGCATAGCGTCTCCAGCTTTATCAACTTGCCCAATAAACCTTTTAAAGCTTTTGAATTAACTGTAATTAAGTTATAACAGTTTTTAAGGTGAGAAGCTAACTGTTTTAATGATCAATATGCGATTACTTAATCCCAAAAATGTTTGAGAATTTGAGAATTTACAGCGATGTTTTGAGCTGTGAGGAGCTGCTGGACGTATGAGAATGCCCGGTCTGTTAAAAAAAAAGACGCCAACCATGTTTTTATAATTACTTTCACTGCCTGAACGGTAGAGACAGGTCCACACTGCAAGTCTAACCATAGGGTTTTAAAAAATATTTCCCATTTAAATGATTAGAGCCAGAAATATTGAAAAAGCTAGCTAGATAGCTAACATTCAGAGTGTGTTAGATGGGTAGCTAACTAGGGAGGTGGATAGAGACATACTTTAGCTAGCTTGATAGATAGATAGACAATGACAATGGCCCAAAATCATATTAGATTAGCCATTGTCATAACAGATGATAACACCTTGTCATTTAGGATACAGGACTATCTTCACTCTCAGTTTCCATGTTTAATATTTTATCTGCTGCGCTGCCTCTGACCGCCGTGAAACGATTGGACAGTCGGACACGAACAGTTTCTCTTTGTTCCTCGCTCCTGTCTTGACACTCTTCCTATGACCATATAAGGTCCTTCTGTTCACAGACCTTGGCATCATGCTGTCAACGTATGGACCATAAGGAGAAGGAGTCAGTCTACTGGGACTAAAGAGCGGAGAGAGGCAGACTATAAACAGCAGCCGGGTGGAGGAAGGAGGGAGGAAACCAGATAAAGAGAGGGCAGAAAGAGGGTGGAGGGGAGGGGAGGAAGGAGGAAACGGAGGGGAGGGAGATTAAAGTGTACAACGAGATGAGTTAGAGACATTTTTTGTGAAAAAGAAGGTGGATAATTATAGCTGTGAGTAAGCAATATTAAGTGGAGTGGACAGAAGATAAAGACAAGATGGCTGACACATTATTACAAACAAACTAACAACAAAGCCTTTTAAGGAGACTTGGACACTTTTAAATAAATATATATTTATATATATGGCTGCAGATATTTCAATTCTCCTTCATTCTCCTCACATCAGCGAGCAGCCGCTCCTGACGCTAAGCCTTGTTGTTGCCTTTTCAAATACCTCTTGTCGCGCAGCTGACAAATGGCCAAGATAAGACGCTTTTATAAATAACCTGCTACCTATCAGACTCAGAGCCGCTGCTTTATTCAATGTGTAATGCGCCTTTATATTCTCACTGTCTACACTATCTGCACCAGTCTTTGTATGTTTTCCTATCATGGCCACTTTCCCCTCTCATAGCGTCTCCTGTCACACAGCGTTAATATTTCTGCGTGCCCTTTTCAGAGATACGTGCCCACTGCCCGATGCACCGCAGCTCCTCCACCCACGTCTCCGGGTGGAGAAGGTCACGCTGGACACATGACCTGCGATTTGAAGAGGACCTGCTGTAGACACAGTCCAGATACACCGCGGGAGACTCGCTAAGCTCTGCACGAGTGATACTCGGATTCTCTCCGGGCGCTTGTAAAGATCCACTTACATGTTTATGGAGTCAACACACTGCTCAGATATGAGTTCATCTTGCAGAGGAACAGAGAGGCTAAACCCTCTGTGTTCACTCATTTGTCAAAACTCAGGTGGACCTGCTGGCGCTCCTTAAACACACAGCAGTTAGCCTGACAGAGAGGAGGTCAAAGGTCACACTGCGATGAGCCGAGACGCATACCACAAGCTCACCACCTGCACCGCTTAACACAAAGTGGGCTTGAAGTGATCACAAACTAATAACACTGCTGCTGGTACAGGATCAGTGCCACTAATACTGATAGCAGTCAGTATTTAATTAGAAAACAGTCCTCATGTATAAGCGGGGACTGTTAAAATGTCTCCCGCATAACAAGATGAAGTGTTGATGTGATTAGTTTAAGTTGGACTGTGCTTGTTCCTGATAGCAGGAGCACGTCCCCTCTCTCCGTCATTATGAAAACACTGAAGAGGTCAGAAATGTGCTCTGAAGAGCCCGCAGCCCGGCTCCTTAAAAGGCCTGGAAACATCTGACGTCCAGCATGTGAGGGGCAGCATGTCAGCGGCACTGCACAAGAACCAGAACACCTGATAATAAAGGACCAGAACACCTGATAATGAAGCTTATCACTAGGTTAGCTGCTGGAGCTGCATACCTGCTGTGTTGCAGGTCCATGTTTGGAGATTCTGTTCCTCACCAGATTAACTGTGATGGTGTGAGGCAAAGCAGAGAAACAGGCTGAGGAGATTTAACTCCGGACATCAGTCTCGATTCACCTTATGCTTCACCGGCTCTAGGGCGGTTTCACATTGCTGTATAATGTGTTGATACTTCCGGTTAAAGTGTAATTGCTATTACTTACGTCGCCAAATGTATAAATCTTTAATAAGCGTAACATGTATAGGCATTTGAACAGGGAGTGGGAAAAGGAGCGGGGCTTCATACGGTGAATTCAGAGGTACACAAAACATGTACAACAATTATTATTCATCCAGAATGTGAAACCCTAAAGAGTCCAGTGGAGTGTATAAAGTGAATACAGTCAGTGTGTATCTGCAGCACGGCGCAGTGTGGCCTTTTCTCAGCGAATGTGCAGTTACATCAGCCGCTGTGTTTGGGTATTCAGTTACACAGTGACCACATGCACTGAGCCTAATCTAATTCTCCAAGAGAAATATCAGATTTAATCTCATATACCTTTCTGACATCACCGGGCTGCACATGAGAGGGAAACTACAAACACACCCAGAAAAAAAGACAAAGACTATACAAAAACTGTGCAGCATGTTGGAGGAATTAGTGTTTTGCACAAACATCGTTGGCTGTGTGAAGATGTCACTCACTGAGATTATCTGTAATGAGGGGGGGGCAGCAGCTGTGTGAAACTCACTCTGAACACTTTATTCGTGTGTGTGTGTGTGTGTGTGACACGCATTAAGATTCATTAGAATGGATTCATCTATCACCAGTCCTCTCTTTATCCTGCGTACATCTTCAGTTGGTATACTTGCCTTTGTTATCTCCAATATCAAATGTTCAACTCAGTTCTTGCATTGGTCTGCAAATTAGAATGTACATTTTCTGCATCGTTCGATTCATTGTTGCAAATATTCTACCACTTTTAACTGCTTTGAAGTAAACCTATTCCAAAAATATAAGATATTTGTCCAAAACAAAAATGTTCCGCATCCCCTAAAACTTAGAAATCGACCCAGAATGACTCAGAATCAGCCAGGAGTACAATTATGGCAATTTTCTATTTTCAACTGCCATTTTTTATCCTGAATAGGTCATAAATTGATTCAGCATCCTCAATAACCCCCCAAACCACTCCAGAACTGTAAAGATTGGCAATCTTTGGACTATTGTCCACCTAATTCTAAATACTGCTAATTAACGCAATTTATGCTAATTGCGCTAATTGACCAACACATTTAAGTTAGCATCCGGCAGTTTCTTATTGATGGGAACCCATACTGCACATTTCTAAAATAACACTTTAGGGTATTTCCGGGTTCAGACTGCTGTCAACTTTTTTCAGAATAAAAAAGGACATAGATACAGTATGAGGCAGGTCACAAAGATTAAAGTCGAAATAAATAGCCTATATTTTTATAATAAATGAAAGGTGCACATATTTTAAAGTATGAAAGAGTGCCTTTATGAGCCCTAGCCTTATAATAATACTAATACAAGTATAACTCTTACAGGTTTACCAGCAAATAAGAGTATTTAGGAGTATTTTAGTGATGGAGTAATGATTAATGTAGGAGTCGCGTGCGGATCGTACCTCTTCCTCGTGGTTGGTGAACTCACTCGGCTCGGTCTCCTTCTCGCTTTTGTTGTTGCTCATCCTGACGACTTTATCAACGGGACTGTCTTCTTCTTCTTCAGTCAGTTTGCCTCTGCTCCTCTTCCTCCCGCTGCAGGTTTCCAGTACCTCCGACAGACTTCAGTCCGCTTGCAGCTGCTAGTTAGGCGACATCAGTGACGACACGGATTCAAAGTAAAATCTGAAGCTGCGAGTAAAATCAGACAGAAAGCTTCTCCTCTTGCTCTGCTGCTCTCAGTGAAACACGCTGCTGTTAGACTGCTGCAAACTTCTCCCAGCTGAGGAGGAGGACAAGGAGGAGGAGGGAGGGGTTTAGGGTGGGGTTAGGGTGTAGATGCACCGTCTGCTGCTGCTGCTCTATCAGGTTTATAAACGCTGTAATAGCAATGCGTGTTATTTTAGTCTCTGCAACATTCCTACAATATTTCTCTAACAGCAGCTGCTTAAATATTCCTATTTATACTCTAAATATTACTAATGTGTCTGTAGTCAGCTGATTTTACATGTGCGTTCATTTAAACAGGTATTCTCATTGACAGACACAGAGATAACACACATGCCTATGTTCACTGTCAATAGAAAAGTGTGATTGCAAACAAAATGTTCAAGGAGGAATAAACAAAACATTGCTGGTTACCCTGACAAAAAAATTACATTGTGACATTTAAAAATGATATTGGAATCTCTCACTTAAAGGTCACCTATGATGCAAAATCCACTTTTTCCTGTCTTTTATACATAAACATGACATGTGTCCCCTCCGTGTAAAGAGATTCTGAATGTTTCAGGAAAAAATATTTGCTCACTTTTTGTCCTGATTTATATAAAAACCAGTCTGAAAATGAGCTGATCAGATTTTGGCCACTATGATGTCATAACGATTTTTTTGCTTGTGTAACCATTAGCCAATAACCAACCAAGGTAACCCACCGTATCATCTGAATCTCCTCCTAGAGCACAGTGTGTTGTTTTTAACCAAATATCTCTCAGTGGGGAGTGGCTCCTTATTTTCATCTAAAGTAACAGACACAGAATCAGCACATTTGAAACAGGGCTGAAACAGAGGCGTTTATTGGATGCTACAATGCACGATCTGTTTGGTATTTCGAGCCAAACACTTCAGAGACATGGTTTGTATATATCTGAGACCTATAATATATTGATGAAAAACAGTATAATAGGATACCTTTAAAGGACAATATTTCATTTTGTGCTTCAAACTACGGTGGATGACACGGTTATCGGAAACTTCTCTAAAATGTTGGTTTTATCGGCTTATTTTAACAATGGGATCGCATTATTCCTTCCGAAATAATTGCAGATCTGCTGTAAACTAGCTAGCTTACCAAGCTAACCTAGTCATTTCAGATATACGGAAATAAAACACTTACAATTATGAAAACAGACTAACTCTGCCAAAATAGACAGTTGGCCATCATTGTAATCCCCGAAGGTCAACAAGTGGTCCGGTCCCAGCTGTGTGTGTCACTTTTTAGTGTCCCCTGTTTTACGCCTCTTGCAGCATTTTGTATTTGCAGCACTTTTAGTAAATACTGCGCATGTTTTGTCAAGTTGGTGAAGATGTTTCTTCATTCGCCTGTGTTTTGGCACATTTGTGTTTTTTTATTTGCATCGTTTCTGAAGATGCAGTGCGTTATCACCTGTCGGCCACCATATAACAATAAGAAACAGAGACATTAAGTAATTACACAACTCCACAAGAAGTACAACACAGTTTGTGCAATTTTTCCACATTCGAATTACATATTATACCGTTGTTTTTTATGAATGCTTCTTCTTTTAGATCTTCTTGTAGATTATTACCTGTTGCCTGTGTGACCCTCGGCTGCATCATGTGATGTGTTAGTGTGCACACTCAGGAGAGTTTCAGCATGATGCATCATGTGTGTGGACAATTATCAACAGGACTGTGTGTGTATATTTACAGAGAAGATCAGAAGACAACACCTGCACGTTGCTCAACATTTGTAGGTGGTAACTGATCCGGTCTGATTTATGACCTGTGGGGGGGGGGGGGAGAGCCTGGAGCAAGGGGAGTGCCGTCTGAAACCCTCCACACCTATGGCGGTCTGCGGCTCAGACGGTACACTCCAGCAGCTTCCTCTCTGACGCTCAGTGCAGCGGACACACACTCGCAGTATGTGACAGCCGGGCAGAGTCATTTCTGCTGAGCATGCACCTCAAAACAACAAAAGAAGGAAAAGCAGTGATGCCCCCCTCCCCTCAGATCACGTCTACATCCATCACAGATACATCTGAAGGAGCTCTGCAAGGAGATAAAAATGGAAATGCTCCCCTTGCTTCTCGACAAGCAGGAATCAAAGCTGCTGCTGGAGTCTGGGGAAGGGGGGAGATGGGAGGGGAGGAGATGGGAGGGGAGGAGAGGAGAGGGGGAGGAGACGGGGAGATGTCCCAGCTGTGTTTGACAGGTCTCTGTGTGGTCTGATGCTAAGAGAGGGAGCCCCCCCCTCTCTGTGTGTGTGTGTGTGTGTGTGTGTGTGTGTGTGTGTGTGTGTGTGTGTGTGTGTGTGTGTGTGTGTGTGTGTGTGTGTGGCTAGGAGACAGTCTGGTCACGCTGTCCTGGTAACATCTCATGGCTCTGACCCCCCCACCACATGAAGGAGACGTCCCTGTGTTATCAGAGAGTAACCAGATAAACATGCAGATAAAATGCTGCATGGAGTTATTTTAGTTTAAACGAATAACAGAGACAGTTATCTCGTATCTGTAGGCTTAAAATAAAGCTAACCAGCAGTGGGTTAGCTTAGCACAAAGATAAGCTAGCTTCAAACTCACTAGTAAAGTCGAAGACGATACCCTGAAAACACTTCCCCACCCACTTCTCCATCTTGTTTGCGCTCACTTCAACAGTTTCTCATGTCTGCAGGCTAAATATGAAGCTAGCCAGCAGCGTGTTAGCTTAGCATCAACATGCACATGATCACATGTCTGGCCTGCGTCATCTTCAACAAAGCTACTTAGCTAGCATCTTTGTTTAACCTTATATCTTCACGTTCTGTTCACTGTCAGATAATCCAACACAGTCTCACGGCATTTCGTGTTATAGTCACGAAATTAATCTATTGATTCGTGTCCACCAACACGATTTTTGCATTTTTTTCGTGTCACACAGAACGATTTTAAAAGCAATGTAAATAATAACAAATTTGAAGGAAAAATAGATTTAAAAAAAATACAGATTTCAGTATTCTGACAGAACGATTTTAGAAGCAATGTATTTCTATTGGTAAGCCTAGTATGTTTCGTGCCTGCACCAAATAATAACAAATTAGAAGGACATTTTTTTTTTTAAATACAGATTTCAGTATTCTGAGGCTCTGAGCCCCATTTATTTTCCTCGCGGACAGCAAAAAAAAACTCTGACATTATACAATTTAAAATAAAAGGGTTAGGCTTAGGGTAAGATATTGAGAAAGAAAATGTTTTTATGAACCACACAGGTTCTGGTCTTCCTAGACCCGACCAGACAAAAAGACGTGGTGCAGGCACAAAATATACTACCAATACAAATACATTGCTTTTAAAATCGTTCTGTGTGACACGAAAAAAATGTGTTGGTGAACACGAATCAATAGATTACATTAATTTCGTGACTATAACATGAAATGCCGTGAGACTGGGTTGGATAATCCCTGGATGAGCTGGACAATGAGAAGAAAAAGGCCCAGACTGAGGAGACAGGTGTGTGAGGAAGATGTTGGTTTGAGTTAAATGAGGAGTGGCTGCTAGCTAGGAGAAGGAGGAAGAACTCTGTGGCAGTATCAGTGTGTTTTGGGGAGACTGGTACATAGCATGTGTGCTAACCTGAGTTTAAACCTTGACTCAGTGTGTGTAAAGGTCTATAATATTCCTCTAAACTGCTGACATGTCTTAAAGCCGTGTAGAGGAAGTAGGTGAAGTAGGTGAAGTTAAATTCTCTCTTTGTTGTGCAGTGGATCCAATAAAAAAGTCCTTCAGTTTTTTATCACACAATAAACCTCTCTGACCTTTACTGCTCTGAGGGTACATCTCCATCTATTACTGTTATCTTTTAGTGTTTATGGTGTGCTGCTGTGCAGTAAAGGAACAAAAGATGACTTATAATACACATGCTGGCCTTGCATTCTGTGTGTGACACATTTTGCTTTCTATACTTTAAAGGGGCCCTATTCTGCTGATTCAGGTTGATATTAGCATTCTGTGCTTCTCCTGTGACTTGTTTCCATGCTTTGATGTTCAAAAACCTCTTTATTTTTCTCATACTGCCAGTGCTGCATCACCTCTTTTCACCCTCTGCTCTGATTGGTTAGCTGGCCGACTGTGTTGTGATTGGTCAACCGCTTATAGATGTTCCGCCCCTTAGCCCGTAACGTACAATGTGTTGGAGCGCTAGCCAATAGAAGCGCAAGTGTTAAGTATATTTTGTATTACTTTTAATATAGTATATTTTAATATTGTTTTAATATTGTCTGCTTATCTGTATTATTGTGTTGCATTGTTGGAGAAGCCTGTGACCTAAGATTTTCAACGACATAATTACTCTGTAGCTATGTTAGTTTGACAATAAAGAACCTTGAACCTTGAACCTTGAACCTTGATATCAGCATGTTTTGGAAGTAAACAAAGGATTCCAATAGAGGCATTTCAGGCAGGGGGGGGGGGGGGTGTGTGAAACCACAAGAAGCAGGATAGGGCCCCTTTAAGCACATTTAGCTGGGAACCCTAAAGTAAAATAAGAGGATGCTTGTATGTTAAGCACCACAGTGGAGCTGGTGGTGGTGCAGGAGGAAGGGGGGGGTGGTGGGGTCTGTGTCAGTCTCCAGCTGCTGGTCTGTTTCAGAGGGGACCACAGAGTCCCTGTTGTGATTAGATTAATGGTTCCTGTGGTCTGCAGAGGAGGTGACTGCACCTATAGGTCACTCCTCACTCTGTAAAGATGGAGCGGACCTGCAGGCAAAGGTCAGCTGTCACTAAGCCTTACCCAACTGCTACTAAAGGGTGGAGAGCATGGACTGTATATATGGTGGAGAGGGTGGAGCTCCAAACCCAGCTGATCGAGTCTCTACCCAGATATATGTATTTATATTTATGAATGTCAGTTCACTCAGGATCTTTGTCTTTAAGATAACTGACTGTATTAAAGGCAGAATGCTGAGAGGATGTTGGCACTAACAAAGTGCTGCAGTGATTGAGTTTCACAACACTACAGTAAGGGGTTGGGGGGGGGGAATAACTGTGTCCAAATATAGACAAGCATTTCTGTTATGAGCTGCTATCATCACAGTCATGGTGTAGACTAAAAGACCCCCCCCCCCCCCCATGAGACCAACGTCACTCTACATCCTGCAACTGTGCCCAGTATCTGTCCTCCGCCACTTTAAACACCTCCCAAGAGGAGGAGGAGCAGGAGGAGGAGGAGCAGGAGGAGGAGAAGGTGAATAAGTTATAGTAGAGAGGCCCCAGCTGCACTCTTACTCAAATAATTAGCCCCCCTCATCCATATCTGACCCCACAGCACGTGGAGCTGGGTGCAGCAGCTGCATGCTGCACCCAGCTCCACCTGCAATACACTGTGGGGGTACCTGGCATTATTCAGGCCATGCTGCTGGAGGAGTGTAACCACACCGAGCTCAATGACAACTGGGACTGTGTACAGTTACTTTACTTATAATACAAATAATTAAACTGTTATTGTGTACCTTACGAGCAGACAGCAACGCAACAGTTCCCCCTGGTGGTCAAACTAAGCTAATGTAAATACCAAACATTTGACGAGTGCTTGATACAATTATCATTTAGAAAGAATTAAAGATATTAACTACTTTTGTAAAATATATAACATTTACAAGTTATTATAAATAATACAAATAAAACAACATATATTTGAAAAATGAAGATAATATTTATTGCAATCTTTACCAGAACAATTATAAAGACATTTAAATGTAATTAATTAACAAGGAGATTTACAATGTCAGGTCTAAAATAGATCAGACTATCTGATAAAAGAAGTGAAAAAGCAGAAACTCCTGAAAAATGATTCTCACGGGTGGAGGTAAAGGAGGTGGAGTTCACAGGTGGAGTTCACAGGTGGAGGTAAAGAAGGTGGAGTTCACAGGTGGAGGTAAAGAAGGTGGTGTGAGATCCTCACATGTGGATGTAAAGAAGGGGGAGTCAGTTCCTCACAGGGGTGGTGCTGTTTCCTCTCACAGTCTTCTTCAGGTGGTGGTAGTTTGGCAGGATCTTCATCAGGAAGTCCAGCTGCAGAGTCTGAGGCTGCAACACAGAAACACCACCCTCAGTGATAAGAACACCACCCTCAGGTATATAAACTCCACCCTCCGTCAGCTGTGTGGGTGGTGCAGGTGCAGCACTGACCTGAGGCTTCTCGCTCTGCAGGCGGCGGTTGGTGCCGCAGCCGTACACCACCGTGTTCTCCGGCACCACCTCGCAGGTGTTGAGCTGGCAGCAGGCGCCCACGATGCAGCCGCTGCTCAGCACCACCCTCCTGCCCAGGTCAGCTGCAGGGGGAGTAGTGAGACACATACACAGGTTACACTTTTATATTATATACAGAGGTGGGAGAAGTACTCAGATCTTGACCTTGAGTACAAGTAAAAGTTCCAGAGTGTAGGAATACTCTGTACAAGTAAGAGCCCTGCAGTCAAAAGGTTACTCAAGAAAAAGTACAAAAGTATCAGCATCAAAATGTAATTAAAGTACCAAAAGTAAAATGGACTAGTTCTGCAGATTGACCCATTTTAGAATAATATATATGATATGTTTTGATTATAAGTAGTGATGCATTAAAGTGTTATCAAAGTGGTTAAGAGGCAGGTAGTTTGAATCACTTTGTATACGGCAAGGTAGCTTGTGAATTTACTCCAGGTGTATCTAAAGTCTTAGTGTTGATTATTATTTCACATCATTAATACAAATTTGTAAAGTAACTAATGGTATTAAATAAATGCAGTGGAGTAAAAGTACACAATTTACCTCTGAATTGTAGAGAATGAAAATGAATCTACTCAAGTAAAGTAGTATCTCAAAAGTGTACTAAAGTACAGTAGTTGAGTACATGTACTTAGTTAATTTACACCTCTGATTATGTATTATATACATTTTTATATGTATATATAAAGTACACAGAGAGGGATTTCAGTACTCACCCTTTGACTCGATCACGTTGTTGTCTCCGATGTTCAGGGCCTGAGACACTGATCCTCATTATGAAGGATTTAAATGTAATCACTATTATAAAACAGATGTATGTTCAAAGACTGAATGTTTGATTACCACATGACTTTTTGTTCTAAAACTGTCTTTCATATGAACATTTTTGTACACGGTTTGCATAATCTTATTTTAAATTTAGGACTTCATTTATAATGTAAACCTGAACCAACAGCGCCCTCTGCTGGACAAAATAGATATTAATAACAATAGAAATTCATATTTTCTGTTACTTTTCAGCTGACATTGACTCAGACATTACTGCATTACTCAGTCAGATGCTATAGATTATATTATATATCACTTTAGAGGATACCACATCCCACTTCAAACACATTGTTGGTCCCGATGGTCATGGTTTTCTGCTCCGCGCCCTCAGAGTCCGGCAGCTGGTTTTCCGGGTAACTGCACACAGGAGGAGATAACACATGAGGTTACAATAGTATGTTATTATTACATGTTATTGTATGTGTTCTCCTCCTGCCTGTTGATGATGAGCGCCTGCTCCTCGATCAGGTTCCCCTCCCCGATGATGATGGGCCCCGCCTCTGCGATTATCCGGGCTTTGGGGTGCACCACGGTCCGGGCTCCTGAGGGAGGGGCAGCAGGAGTGATGGAGGATGCTGAGTAAATAAATGATAATAATAATAATGATAATAATAAAACTCACCGATGGTCACATCTCCTCTGATCTCGCTCTCCACACACACCACTGCTCCTGCTGCGATTTTAGCGCTGCGGGAGAACAATATTTAAAATCACAATACCTACATAGAATAAATATACATACATAAACAAAAACATAAATACAGCTGATCAACAGTCAGTCTGCTGGCATTTTTGTATACAGAATGAATACATGTTAGTATACCCACAGAATAACAGTCTGCTAACACATTAGTATAACATAATTACTGCCAACACAATATATTCATACAGAATATATGTATATTGATACACAGAATAACGGTCTGCAGAATTATCAGTATTTAAGAGATGACACGGTTATTATTTTCTGATATTTATAAAGTGTTTTACCTCTTCTGAGAGGCGATCTGCTTGCAGTCTGACATCCTCACAACAATCAAGGCGTTATCGATGTTTGATTGTAGATCCTGGCTCCGAGCTCATACTCGATCAGCTTTGTCTGACTCACTGCTGCCCTCTGCTGGACTCATCAGAAACTCAACCAGAGTACCTCAACTCATATAAACTCAAATTGTATTTAGCTATGTCACTATTAATATTCACAAAAAGGTTGTCAAAAATAATTTCATCTTCTTTTTCACTAAAGAAATACATTAGTAATAATTTAGTAGCATTTTATTCTCCCTGCCTCTCATAGGAAACTCCTGTTTATAGTCAGGAGAAATATATGAGATTAAACCATAGACTGTATATATAAAGGATTAAACTCATATTTTATTCATTTAATATATTATCCAAGTAACAGCTAGACACACAGATGTATTCTGCCTCTTAGTTTTTAATCCAAAATAAGAAATCTGTGTGGAAGGACTGATGGCATAGTATGTCTTAAAAATCATATTAAAGTAAATTACGGAATTAATTGTAAAAAGAAGAAAAAGTAAGTATGGATTGTGAAATATACTACACAGATTTGTTCTGGAACACTGGTGGTTAAATATGCATTTAAATAAGCAGACAGGAAACAGAATATGACAGAATCTTTAATTCTTGCATTAAGAACAAACTCATGACGGCGTCTGAATAAACAAAAGTAATCACATGATCACCACAGAGTGATCCTTTGGATAAAAATACCCATAAGGCAATATGCTGTATTAAATATGTTTATAGCAGGGTAAAACCTATCGTAAATAAAAAAGATAATGGTGAAAATAGTCAGGCTCGGACAAATCAACAATACCTGAGTAAAGTCAACGTCACCAATTAATGATTAATAATGGTGAATGACTGTAAAATGAATAATAAAACGTCTCCTGGAGAGCTGGTGTAATACTGATTGTGGGGCCTAATGCTCAAATCATTTAGGAATAAAACATTTTTCAAACATTATAATTATTATAAGAGAATTTGGCTGATTCTCCTGCTGGATTAAATCTTTGCATAAAGAAGTGTTTCTTAATACCATCATCTCACTTATACCTGATTCTCTTTTTTACAGAATTATAAAAGTATCTCCCCATCAGTAGAAGTATTTTCCAGCAACTTTCCTTTTTAAAAAACTCATGATCTTAAAACACTTCAAAAGAGGCAAAGCTTGAAAACCTTGTAGATGCTAGAGATTGTTCTGCTTTTATTGTGAAGGGCAGTGGGTTGCGTTTCCTGTCAGAACTTGTGGCTGCCTCTGAAGTCGGGGCCCGGTCTGGAGGGCCAGAAAGTCCCACTCTGCCTGTAAAACACACAGAGGAGGGAATATATATTTACTATTATATATTTTACATTTTCACCTTATGTAGCCCCACCCCTTTTCCCACTTCATGTTCAAACGCTTATGTCGTAGTTCGTTAGACTTGCATTTTGAACCTGTGTCTACCATTCAGGCAGTGAGAGCAATTATACAAATAAGACCAGTGTGGCCTTTGTGCACAATGAACAGTCTAATGCTAAGCTAACACGCTCCGACTCTTGAAAGAGGAAGAACTCGCCTCATGTTCTCGTCCTGCAGGTCTTCAGCCTTCAGCGCAGATCTGGAGATCCCCATTCCTGGAGGGATGCGGTCCGGATAGCGCACAGCGATCTTCATGCCGTTCAGATCAGAGCCCTGAACACACCAACACAACATGTTTGTTCAGCAGGAGAAACAGCAGCAACACTCACAGGGACCTCCTGCGGTTAGAGCAGGACGACACAGGGGGTGACAAGGTGTGCGCCTCACAGTGACAGTATCTATGAAGTGTAGTTTAATCTTCCAGGAAGTAGTACTCACATGCAGGCATCGGATTGCTTCATCACAGTGATCTCGTTTGGTATAGTTAACGAAGGCGCATCGTTTGTTAATGAGGAGCTTGACACTGTGGACCGGCCCCACGCTGCAGCAGGAGACAGGAAGGAAGGAGTCAGGAAGGAGACAGGAGGTGTGACCACAGAGGATAGAGGGAAGGAGTACCAGGAGGAAAAAAGGAGTCATGTTCTCACTTGTTAAACATGTTGCTGAGGATGGCCTCAGACAATGGGTACACCAGGTTCCCCACCCACACTGGAAACAGCTCCCTGTGAAACACACATACAACACGTTCATACTACTAATAATAATTACAATAATAATAATTAAAACAATAGTCTAGTTATAAATAATCATAATATAATAAATACAAAAAGTCATATTTAAAAATAATAATAGTGTAGTAAAAATAATAATAATATAAATACAAAATAATGATAGTGTAGTAAAAAATAAATAACAATAATAATAATAATAATAATAATAATGACTGACTGTTCAGCCCCGCTCTTCATCGCCTGGTTAGGAACAATCTTCTGTTGACTCTGGATGTTGGACATATTCTGGACTAAAGGTTTGTTCTTTAATAATTGTATAGCACTGTGAGGATGAGGAGCAACAGGATAGAGAAAAGGAGCAGCAGGAGGATGAAGAAGAGGAAGAGCAGCAGGGCTTATGTTGGCAGAGAGGACTGGAGACACTCCGTTGATGTTAACAAGTTGAGCCGGTTTGAGAGGCACACCTTGAATAGTTCCTGTACACAAACACACAATGAACAATCATAAATATATGTATTAGGGCTGCACAATATATCAAAAATCTATTGTAAACGTTATATCAACATTTGTGGTATGCATATTGCAAGACTGCTCGAACTGCAATAAATAGTAGCCTATTCCATGTGCCATGCAGTCACTCTCTGCACGTTAATATGTCTGGCCAATCAGGCGAAGCCCTACTGCTCTAGATGTCCCGCCCCCCATGAAGGAGTTATGCTATTGGCGGAGAGTAAAGCTAATGGATCTGAGATCTTTGTGATGGCTGAAGGGAGATAGACAAGCAAGGAAAATGTGGGGGATGAGGAAGAACTCTTATGTGGAAAAAACATATGGTGATTGTTAGGATTATTTCAACTATAACGTAGTTACATGCTTCATTGTTTAAAACACATTAAGTTAGTGTTGGAAGGAGGAGTTTCTCTTGCCACCGCCTCCTCGTGACACTCACCTGGGGGACGGTTTAAAGCTGACAGCACCTCCAGAGCCTTCTCCACCGTGCCGTGGATTATTAAAGCGTTTGAGCTCTGCTCCCGAGTGAAGCCATACTCCTGCAACACAACAAACAAGAATATCTGTCATACACCACCTCCTTCTCTAAGAGCATGTTTTAATAAAGTCAGGTGTGAGTGTGACGCACCATCAGCTGAGTGATCTGCACCCTCATCAGCTCCTGAGCTGCTTCTGCACACGACCCGTCCCGAGACAGCACCTCCCTGAAGGCTCCGGCCGCCTCCGCATACCTCTGCAGGAGGAACCAGAAGGGCAGTAAGAGGAGAACTCTGAACTACCGTCTCCCTTGTTTTACATATCTAAATGTTTCCTCCATGTGTCTGCGTTGATCCCTGTGTTTACCTTGAGTCCGGCCAGCGCCCTCCCCCTCCTGAAGTGAGCTTTGACCCAGCCGGGGTTCATGCTGAGGCACAGCTCTGCGTCTGCCAGCGCCTTCTCAAACTGCTGAGACTTCTCGAAGCAGAACGAGCGGTTCCCAAACAACCTGAGACACAAACATCTGGACTTGAACTCCTGATCAGTCACTCTTTATTGTTTAAATAACCACTAACCAAGTCGATTTCCATATCCTGCTCATTCAACTTTCTAGACAAAAACTCATTTTTACAAGATGACCCTTGAACGCATCATACTGTAACTCAATACAGCCTCTAACAGCTAACGTTAGCTAGCTCTCCTGCAGACTTACCACAGATTTCAGTATCAAGGCTAACCTGTGCTTTAAGACTTGATAAGCAGAATCAACATTTTAATTTCTCTATAATTAAATAGAAACGGGTTCCTGTAAATAGGTGCATAACAAGAGAGAGTGGTAAGAGTGTGTGTCCTTACTTAAACTCCGTGGGGTTGTATTTAATTGCGTCGGTGAAATACTTCACAGCCATATTAAAGTCTCCAGCACTCGCAAACTTATTGCCAATAACTGGAGAAAAAGGGAGAAAGTGCAGGAAGAATTAACACAGAATATTATATAATAATATATGAACAAATGGATCGGTTTATGCATGAAAAATGAAACTCACCCGCGAGATCAGTACTGATTTTAACATTATCTTCCAAAGTGGGGGGGGCAAAGTCCTGCAGACACACACACACACGAGTAAATGTTATACTAATAATGCATTATAATATAGAAATAAGGTAATAAAGCTTGGTCCTCTCTTCACCTGCTTCTTCTCTTCCTCTGGGGCTCCTTCAGGTTTCTCAGGGGGGCTTTTAGCTTCCTCTGTGGTGGTGGTGGTGGTGGTGGGGGGGGGCCTCTTCTTCCTCTCGGCGCGGGGATTCTGCTCCAGCTGTCGCCTGGCGATCTGAGCAGCATTACTCACAAACGTGCTGCTCATGTCCAGCTCCTGCAGAAACACACTCCTCACCATAAGACTACTTTTAAAATGTATGTTTGTAAACTGCCATCTCAATCCCATAGAGCCGAGGATGTGGTACCTCAGAGTCTGCGGAGTCCTTCTTGGTGTCGCCGTCTTCATCGCTGGACTCTTCCTCACTGCTGCTGCTGCCGCCGCTGTCTTTTGCTTCGGCAGGCGGCTTGTTTTTGGATTCCTCACTTCCTGCTGTGCTTCCCTCTGATTTGCTCTGCTGTACAGCTTCTTCTGCCTGGAAACCAAAAGAGACAAACACCTGCTGAATCTGTTCAAACATAATAAAGATTATGATTGTATTTTACCTCATGGGTCATAAATACCTCTTTGTTTGTTTCAGGGTTCAGTTTCTCCTTCTCCAACTTCTCAAGCCGTTTTCTTTCTTTACGTTTCTACAAGGCAACACAGATAATTCAGTTTCTAATATATAATCTGACATAAATGCATTATATTTATTTATATATATATATATATATATATCTACCTGTTTCTTAATTCGCTTCTTCTCAGCCTTCTCTTTGCTTTTTATAACTTCTTCTAATAATCTGGCTCTTCTTTCAGCGTCCTAAAAAATATTTATATTTTGTTATTTTTCATCCTGCCACAGAGTAAGATATCAAAGACTAAACAGTCAACTCACACTCTCTTTAGGCTGGACCTTTGCAGAGGATGATGGGTAATAATGGTCGGGGGGCTGATAAGCAGAGCCCCCCCTTAATGCAGTCCCACTGTTCCAGTCTGCTAGGTTTGAGTACGCTGTGAAATTATTAGGCCCAATACCCCATTCACCATAAACCTGCTCCGTAACACCACTCCCTCCATTGTTGCTGATATTAGCTGGGAAACAAAACGATAACAAGTTAAAAAATCACTGAATAAATGTGTTATTCACTTTAGTATTTGTGCTATTTCTTACCAACAACGCCAACTCTAAATCTCCCCTGGATTCCAGGACGGCTCTCAAACAGATTCACCATCCTATGCTGCACAGGAGAGGCATACATTACAAACATTTACCATCATACTGTGCACAGCTGTGTTCACTTCCTTTACCCATGATGCACCTCACTCTCTGCTTCAAGATCAGTACAAATTAATCCTCTTTCTGAGTATGTAGTAACGTTAGGAAAACCCACAAGCCCTATGTCTGATAACAAGATGAAATACATTTTAGATAGTTTTGTTAAAAGTTCATTTATGTGTCCTAAGGCACTGTAAACTGTGATTCATCATTATTATGTATACACTTACATCATGTAAACAGAACACTTCCGTTTGACACGTTGTCAACATGCGGTAAAAAGTTTCAAAAGTGTACTCACAACCATCTGGATATCTGTAAACTCTGAAAAAGAATACAAACAAACATGTGACATCATGTAGTAAATCACATTTTAAGCTTACATCGTGTAGTAAATTACATTTGAATCTTTCGTTACGCAGTAAATCATTAGTACTACATTGGTGAGGACGTTGTTCAGGCTTATCAGCAGGACTCATTAGCCTGTTAGCTTGTTAGCCACATTAGCTACAGACAGCTTTAAATATCCTCATGTTCTTACCCGTCTCTTCTCTAAATATATCCATGTTAGTAAAGTAAATCCTCCTACAGCCTCATAAACTCGTTAAGTTAGGTAAATCACAAGCCAAACAGCGTTAATTTATCTCTCTAACTTTGGCGGCTTGCATGTTATTTCCGCGCTTTCCACTTTTTCTTCTTCTGCTGCTGCTGCTGCTGCTTTTCCTTCCTTCTTCTTCTTTGGTGTTTAATGATTAACAAAGTTAGAGGTGTACTCCCGCCACCTGCTGGACTGATAGGTGCCACGACACAAAAATACACTTAATACATCCACACTGCTTTAGCCATTTACAAAATATAAATATTATCAATAAGTAATATTACAATGATAAAAATAATTAAGTGTTTGACAGCTTGCACCAAAAGATGAAATAAATAAGATGTTATTAATTATTTTATTCATCACTCATCACACCGTCATTAGCACACACACCTTCATCAAACTTCACTTAATACAATTATTTCAGGTAAAATACCAAATCTAGAGCTAATAACAGAAATATTATCAGTGTCCTCCAGAATCCAGTGCTCCTTGTGCCGGTAGATTCACAGTCTCATGTTAAAATATAAAGACAATCAGAGAACCTTTTCCAGCTTGTAGTCAGAAAAATTACAAATGTTTATCATATACATGTACATTCAGGAAATCTCTGACCATGGTCCTACCTCACACACCATTATTAAAAAATCTCTTTCTGCAGTGCTAGCACCCGTTTAACTTGGTCAGTGAAGGCAGCATAGAGTCTCTCTGCAGCATGTCTAAGGCTGCGTTTCACTTCGATTAAATGGAATCCTTGCGTCCCTCACTTGCGTCGTTTCCCTGCGACTAGTCCCTCCCACCAGGGAAGCATGGAGAGACGCAAGGAAACCACGAGAAGCAGGGAAATGAGTTTTAAGAGCAATGGGACGTCCTTTCCTCCGGAGCGTCACGTGAAGCGACGTCCGTTTGTGATGACGCTGCACAGCTGATCGTCTGACAGCAGCCAGCTCTGTCCCCGTTATTTTCACAAACACCCCCGCCTCTGTTAGTACACATTTACTGACACAAACATTTGTATCATCTGTTGTAGACCCAAATAAATAAAATCAAATAAGAACTCATTTTCAAAAAAGATAAACGCCATTCTTAAAATGTATAAACGTTAGATTAATATTGATTAGAGTGCACAATAGAAATAAAATAATTGAGAGAAGAAAAAGAGATGTGTTATCTATCAAAACCCAGTTAGATTAACATTCATTGGATTGCACACTTTGTCTGTTTGTGTGGATATGTAGCAAATTAACATTTTAAAAATAGCACTTAATGACTGACTGAATGGAAATGACAATAAATGAAAATGTAAAACGAAAAAAGCGATCATGAAAATGTTTCCAATAAATGAATAAAATCATTTTTGACCACTTTGTTGTTCAGATATATCACATATGTGTAACTGAATGATGCATTCATTGAAACAAAACACAGCATAAACTGAGGAGTGAGTCCCGTGAGTTTCATGTGTTTTCTTCACTCCGCTGGGAAACTGCTCTCATGTCAAGAAGCATCAGATCAGTGCATGCGCTGCATCGTCCAATCAGTGAGCGATACACAGTAAGGGGGCGGGGCGAGTGTCTGAGGATTTCATCGAAGGATGGTCTGGTGGTTCCTCAATTATAGCTCCTCCATTATCGCTCCTCACTCCTCGATCCTCCGGCAAAAATAAGGCCATTGGGACGCTACTCAAGATGGCGCAGACAAACCAACTTCCGGTGAGACCGAGACCGAGGAGCGAGGAAATGAAAAATAAGAGAAGTGAAACGCAGCCATAGTCATTAAACGCAGCACAGGGTTAAAAGTCTCTCTGCAGCATGTTACAGTCAGTGAAGGCAGCATGTTGCAGTCAGTGAACGCAGCACAGAGTCAGAGTTCACAGTGTCTGTAGTAGGAAGTCTCAGTTGTTACGGGGGGGTCCGTGCATTGCGCACAGAGAAGGGGATCAGTCTGTGGTATACAGAGCCCAGCAGGATGCCGGCCCCCAGCACCAGGACGCAGATAAGGCTGAAGGCCCAGCGGGGGCCCAGCAGGGTGTAGACCTGAGAAACAAACACAGGGCCCAGAGTCCGGGCCCCGCTGCCCGAGGCCGTCAACCACCCCATGTACACACCCTGCAGAGAGACACACACACACACACACACACACACACACACACACACACACACACACACACACACACACACACACACACACACACACACACACACACACACACACACACACACACACACACACACACACACACACACACACACACACACACCACACACACACACACACACACACACACACACACACACACCACACACACACACACACACACACACACACACACACACACACACACACACACACACACACACACACACACACACACACACACACACACACTTTAGTCATTTGATCAGGTGGTGATTCAAAGTGGTTTTACCTTTGAGCATCTCCACACTCACCTGAGGGCGGGGGCCCAGGATCTTGGAGTAGAGGGTGTAGGACATGACGTTGCAGGCGGGGTACCCCACACCGATCAGGACGTCTGCAGAGATGTACTGAGCCAGGTGGATGACGGGGGTGTACTGACACCAGGTCTGCTGGTAGGGGCATCCAACAGAGCTGTTGGAGGCTGCAGACACCCTCCCCAATGTGCTGTTTGTCACGTCTGGGTTTTCAAAATAAAAGCACAACCTCAAATTATGTATTTTCTTTTTTTAATTATAATGTTTTAAAAAGTGTTTACATATATTATTATTATTACATGTTTCATGTTTTTATGCATTCGATAAATATTCCTTTCGATCTTATTTAATCCACTTTATTTTATATTAAAGGTTACCTATAATACAAAATCCACTTTTTCATGTATTTTCTACATAAACATGTGTCCCCTCTGTGTAAAGAGATTCTGAAAGTTTCAGGAAAAAAGTTTGCTCTCTTTTTGTCCTGATCCATTTATATAAAAACCTGTCTGAAAATGAGCTGATCAGATTTTGGCCACTTTATGATGTCATAACGATTGTTTGGGTTGTTTAACCATTAGCCAATAACCAACCAAGGTAACCCCCCCCCCCACACCTTATCATCTGAATCTCCTCCTAGAGCACCATTGTGTTTTTAACCAAATATCTCTCAGAGGGGCGTGGGGAGTGGCTCCTTATTTTCATCTAAAGTAACAGACAGAGAATCAGCACTTGTTATGTTTACCTGCCCACTGGATCTGGGGGTACTGGTTCCCCCATGGCAGCAGGATGAAGAAGCCACAGAAAATAACGGCCAGGCCAGCGAGCAGCACGGGACGATCTCCGACCCTGAGGAAGAAAACTCTCTCTGGATTAATTCTGAAATAAAATAAATAAATAAATATATATACAGTATATTTCTGTCTGACACTCAGGTGGGGGGTGGCGTACCTCCGAGAGGCCGCTTTCACCGCCACAAACACCGGGATGGACTGGATGCCGATGCCGCAGATGATGATGCCGTTGTACAGCACGGCCTGTCTCCCGGTCCACGAGAACATGTCCATGGAGAGGGGGGTGGCGATCCTGGACACACACACACTCTCAGGTTTAAAATACTGGTTGAAAAGAACAGGATAATATATTCGGTTTATATCCTTCTTACGTCTCGAACACGGCGAAGATGAACATGACGATGAAGAAGAGGACATTGGAGGTCACGACGGCCAACTGATCAAGGCTCTCCTCACTTTCCTCACTAAGCTCATCTCCGTCTACAGGAAGGAAAACAATATTTTAGTTTCCTGTCCTTTCAAAATAAAACTCTGTGTTTACAGGAGCATACAAACCTTCTGATGTGTAGTTGATGGCTCGGATCTGTCTTCCATGGTCATCGACACGGTGCTCTCTGTTTGCAGCGAGAAACACAAAGAGTAAGACACACACACACACACACACACACACACACACACACACACACACACACACACACACACACACACACACACACACACACACACACACACACACACACACACACACACACACACAACACACACCACACACACACACACACACACACACACACACACACACACACACACACACACACACACACACACACACACACACACACACACACACACACACACACACACACACACACACACACACACACACACACACACACACACACACACACACACACACACACACACACACACACACACACACACACACACACACACACACACACACACACACACACACACACACACACACACACACACACACACACACACACCAGGAGCTGAACACACACAAACCTGAGAAGTACCAGCACCAGCAGCATGTTGACGAGGCCGAACGCAGCAGCCAGCAGAGCGGGGGACGTGTACATGTTGATCTGCAGGGAGAGAATCTGCACGGTCACCCCACCCTCCCCCAGGAAGGAGAGACCCGCCTGCAGGGCTGACAAACAAACACACACACAGACACACACACACACACACACACACACACACTGCAGGAGTTAAAGGTCTCCTATTATACTATTTTTAGGCATATATTATAGGTCTCGGATATATACAAATATATAAAAAACATGTCTGTGAAGTGTTTTGCTCTTCGACGTTTCTGATAGGGCCGTGGGTGTAAAGCCAGCCCACATTTCCGATATTACATCAGCAAATATGGACCAGCTCCGTTGTAGCCCCGTTTTTTAGATTTGGGTGCGGAGGAAAAGAGAGAGGGTTTTGTTTTCTGACACTTTGTGAGTTCCCTGACACACCGGGGACACATTTATGTATAAGAGACATCAAAAAGTGCATTTTGCATGATAGGAGACCTTTAAACAACATGCATTGATTACTTGTAGGCTGCACCAACAGTGTACAGCTTTGTTCCCAACGCTGACATTTATAGATCCGTGTTTAAAGCCTGTGTGTGTGTCACATAGAGAAGCTGCAGTAACATTATTAACCACTGCTGAGGAGTGTTAAACCTTAAAGACAGGTGGTTTAATGTAGGAGCTCAGATACTTCCTCTACTGGCTCGGTTGACATCAATTGAAGACTGTGATGAAGAGTACCTGGTCCCAGGATGAATCCCAGGGCCTGGCAGGCGCTCATGTTGGCCATGGCTGAGGTGCGCTCCTTCAGGGACGTAGCTCCAGCCACATAAGACCTCGCCACCGCCACGTTACCTACACCACGATACAGAGAGAGGTCACATGACTGCAGCAGAGGAAGACTCACTGCAGGACGGAGTAACACTCACCTGCTCCGAAGCCCACCAGCGCCCGGGACACCAAGACGTGCAGCTTGTTGTGGGAGGGGGGCAGGTAGGCGTAGGCGTAGTAGATGTTGGCGAACAGGTTGATGAGGATGGAGCAGACCATCGGCTCCCTGCGGGGGCGGTGATTGGACCAGAGGCCGAAGAGAGGCGAGGCCAACATCTGCCCCAGACTGTAGGCTGCCACCACCCAGCCCAGGAAGCTGGCCGTGGTACTGCCATCCACCTTAAATATTAAACATTAAATAGTAAATATATCCTAAATCTAAAGTCCTCTGTGCAGCTTTTCTTACTTCCTGTTTACAATAAAGGAAAATATATTCTCACCTTCTGAAGATAAGGCCACAGAGACGTGATGACGATGGTGAAACCTGAAAGCATTTCGAGACACACATCATTTTACACTAAGCACAGGATAGTTTTAATATTATTATTTTTTAATTATGTGTAGCTGGTTCGGTGGTTCCTCACCCACACTGCTGAGGAACATGGTGAAGTACATGACTCTGATGGACCTCCAGCGAGGCTTGTAGTCTTCATCCTGATAGTCATCATAACTATGCACAGGGGAGAGACAGGACAGTGTTATAGCACAGCTACAGACACACTCACAACAACCATACACCGACATTCAACGTGTGGACATTCACTCACCTGTCTGCGTCCTCCCTGAGCAGGGGAGTGGAGTCATCACAGTCCGCAGGCTGGGACATGTCTGGAGACAGCAGTCAAGCTGAATTACTTATGATTGTTTAGAGTTTACAGCTGTCCGGTGGACTCTGGAGACGTAAACAAAACGTATCCATATGTCCGAGGGTCAGTGAACGGCTCTGATAACTAATGCTAACTGAGAGCCAGCAGCGAATGTTAGCGTCTCAAACTAAAATAAACATGTTAAACCCACGCGTTAGTCCAACGTATCATGCTGAATGGAGCAGTATCCAGCCGACTGAGAGGTTAATAAACGGCACTAACCACGCAGAGGCTCATAAACACAAAATATAAACAGAACTAAACTAACCACTCCGCTTGGTCGGCGCAGTCACAACAACATACACTTCCGGTTGAGCATTTCAAAGTAAGGTGAATCAGAGCTAAATGATTTAATTATTCTAAGTGGGCTGTTCAGCCTCACCATATTTTTGGATTGCATTTGATTTTGTTTGTAATATATTTATTGTATGCTCCAAATAAACATGTGAATAATCCCCTTGGTCATTCGTTCTCAACTGCATGCATTTATTTTGAAGCCTGTTTATCTTAACGCAACCCACTCACGTGAGAACTCCCCTTCCTCATTATTGACTCTCCCGTGTTTAACTGTATTAAACTGTAGACTGTATTTTTATATATACAGTCTATGGTTTAACCCTTAACCACAGACTGCATTCATTTCATTAAATACAATGAAAAGCTCCATTGACACTCAGTTATACATTACAATAAAGCCTGGCGACTACGGACCATTACAATCCCTCCTCAACTGCATGGAACAAATCAGTAGCTGGATGAGCAACAATTTCCTACAATTAAACAAAAACAAAACAGAGACAATTATCTTTGGTGCCAAAGGGGAGGAACGGGCTGAAGTAAGCGCTAAACTAAAAGCCCTGCTAAATACATCGGAAAAGGTGAGAAATCTAGGCGTAGTTCTGGACCCCGCCCTCAATTTCAAATCCCATATCAACACAATTACTAAATCAGCATACTGCACCTGAAAAACATAGCCAGACTTAGAACATTCATGACCTTGAAAAACTAGTTCACGCATTTGTTTTTAGCAGGATTACTGTAATAGTGTATTTACAGGTCTCTGTAAAAAATCGGTTAAAAAACTACAACTAATCCAGAACGCCGCTGCCAGAGTCCTCCTGACCAAAACAAAAAGAGTAGAACACATCACCCCTGTACTCAGATCTCTGCACTGGCTACCAGTAGCTTACACAATCGATTTTAAAATTATATTGTTAACTTATAAAGCATTAAATGGCTTGGGACCCCAATATATGTCTGACATGCTGCCCTGTTACGAGCCCCCTAGAGCTCTGAGATCATCGGGGGCGGGCTTAGGGGAGAGTGGGGTAAATTGAGCCATTTTTTAGTTATGCTGTCCTCTAAGCCAGTGATTCTCAAACTTTTTTCAATAATGTACCCCCTTTGAAAAAAGAATTCAGCCAAGTACCCCATGATCAGCGCAAAAACGATTTGTTAGGGGGAAAAAGCCTATATTAAGAGGTAAAGTACAGCCTTGCACCATCAGTGTCTGATTTATTAAAACAACAACTATTGTAACTGAGACACACTTTAATGCTACATTTCAAATGTTTACAATCCATCACTAAATTCATGGCAAACCAATTTTAATATCATGCAATAACACTAAGATGACATTAGTTGCATTGAACTGATCTTTTTAATAAGTTGTACTTACAATTTAGTGAGAAACATGGGCTTGTGCTTCACTGAGGATCTTTGTCATTCTGACAGGGAGGCAACTGCAGTTATTACACTTCGTGTTTTGAAATATGTGTAACTCTAGTCCAGGGGTCGGCAACCCCTGGCACGCGTGCAAAATATTTAAATTGTATTTTCGGATCCTGAACGAGACCGCCGCCAGAGCGCATCTCCCCGTTACCTGCAGAAGGAAGCCATGCACGCAGCGCAGCCCCGCTGTTTAACTCCAGGTGACTTTCTGCCACTTTCCTCCGTGGTGCAGTGCTGATCGTTTCACCACAGAGGAAAGCACTTCACAAATTGCAGTACCCATAAGGAGCTTTACAAATGCCGCAGTTTTTGCGTGGCTGTGTCTTTAGTTGAAAGCCCAGTGGCGATCTGCTCATCTCTCATTGAAATAATATGCTACAAAGGGGCGGACTGGCCATCTGTGTGTTGAACTTTCCTGTCGGCTCCCAGACCGTAGTCGAGGAGGGCAGAAGCAACAAGCTTCAGGTTCAATAACCCACTTTAGCTTAAATGACTGGAGAGAGGCGAGCTCTTCTTGGGAGGCCGTTGCATTTATTTAGCTGTTCTTCTGTTTCACAAAATACATCACAGACCTCTGTTTTTCTGCTGCCTCGTTTCACTTCCAGAAACATACCATATATATTTATATATACAGTCTATGAAACATACACACACGCTCCCTCACTCTCTCTCTTAAAGGGACAGCGATCTCATCTCACTCTGCATGACCCTAATATCATAACATGTGTGTTCTGGAGAATCACAGAACGGACGATCGTCCTTATTATTATGCCGTTTAAACCAATTATTTAAATGACATCATGTAAGTTGTGCTGACAGCAGGTACACACACACTGGGTGTTTCTCAATCGCGAGTACGCTTGCTTGGTAGCACATGTCTGCCGAGCATCTTGCTTCAGAAGCGAGTCAAGAATACTTCCTGGCATTCGGAAAACGAAGTGTGGAACACGCTAGCAAGTGTGCAGGTGTGCGTCATATGAGAGGCCCCGCCTTACATCTTCCGCCACAGATTTGGGGAAATTGGTCCGTGCGCAAAGCATTGTGGGGATTTTAAGACCGCGAAGTCTACTCATGTGCACACTCGATATTTCTCCAAAGGGAGTACGCCGGGCTCGGTAGATTTCCAAGTATACTGGAGATTGGAACAGTACTTCGGCGGCACTCGCGATTGAGAAACACCCACTGCTTCCGCGCAGCGAGGCTCCCCCCGCCCTCCTGTTGATAGTTCACCAGCGTCAAGCTCCTCAACCCCCCCCCCCCCGTTGATAATTCTCGATCGTTGGCACGCCGATAACAATTTTTTTTTTTAATGGCACTTCATATCAAAAAGGTTGCCGACCCCTGCTCTAGTCTATTAATATAAAACCCACACTGCTTCGTTACTTTTCCTAAAATTGGTATATTTATCTTTTATTTTCTTGTAAATCTTTTTAAAGTCTTGTGGCTCAACTTCCCCCGGGTAAGGGGTAAGTTGATCCAGGTCAGGGGGTAAATTGAACCACTGTTCAAACCTGGGCATACCTTATTATACATCCATGGGGCATACCTACAAAAAAATCTTAAAGGTAATGTTAGAAATTAAAATCAATGTTAAACAGCATAATTCAGTCTAAAACATATTGCCAGTCTAAAGCGGTTTTATTGTGGAAAAACCCGGAAGTTCTCAGGAAATCAATGCCAAGCTTTTATTCTGAAAATCCTTTATCCGGTTAGCATGTGACTAATGTTACGTTTTCTGAATGTAAAGTGAAAATGACTTGGGGTGTTTCTCAATCGCGAGTACGCTTGCTTGGTAGCACATGTCTGCCGAGCATCTTGCTTCAGAAGCGAGTCAAGAATACTTCCTGGCATTCGGAAAACGAAGTGTGGAACACGCTAGCAAGTGTGCAGGTGTGCGTCATATGAGAGGCCCCGCCTTACATCTTCCGCCACAGATTTGGGGAAATTGGTCCGTGCGCAAAGCATTGTGGGGATTTTAAGACCGCGAAGTCTACTCATGTGCACACTCGATATTTCTCCAAAGGGAGTACGCCGGGCTCGGTAGATTTCCAAGTATACTGGAGATTGGAACAGTACTTCGGCGGCACTCGCGATTGAGAAACACCCACTGCTTCCGCGCAGCGAGGCTCCCCCCGCCCTCCTGTTGATAGTTCACCAGCGTCAAGCTCCTCAACCCCCCCCCCCCCGTTGATAATTCTCGATCGTTGGCACGCCGATAACAATTTTTTTTTTAATGGCACTTCATATCAAAAAGGTTGCCGACCCCTGCTCTAGTCTATTAATATAAAACCCACACTGCTTCGTTACTTTTCCTAAAATTGGTATATTTATCTTTTATTTTCTTGTAAATCTTTTTAAAGTCTTGTGGCTCAACTTCCCCCGGGTAAGGGGTAAGTTGATCCAGGTCAGGGGGTAAATTGAACCACTGTTCAAACCTGGGCATACCTTATTATACATCCATGGGGCATACCTACAAAAAAATCTTAAAGGTAATGTTAGAAATTAAAATCAATGTTAAACAGCATAATTCAGTCTAAAACATATTGCCAGTCTAAAGCGGTTTTATTGTGGAAAAACCCGGAAGTTCTCAGGAAATCAATGCCAAGCTTTTATTCTGAAAATCCTTTATCCGGTTAGCATGTGACTAATGTTACGTTTTCTGAATGTAAAGTGAAAATGACTTGGGGTGTTTCTCAATCGCGAGTACGCTTGCTTGGTAGCACATGTCTGCCGAGCATCTTGCTTCAGAAGCGAGTCAAGAATACTACCTGCCATTCGGAAAACGAAGTGTGGAACACGCTAGCAAGTGTGCAGGTGTGCGTCATATGAGAGGCCCCGCCTTACATCTTCCGCCACAGATTTGGGGAAATTGGTCCGTGCGCAAAGCATTGTGGGGATTTTAAGGCCGCGAAGTCTACTCATGTGCACACTCAATATTTCTCCAAACGGAGTACGCCGGGCTCGGTAGATTTCCAAGTATACTGGAGATTGGAACAGTACTTCGGCGGCACTCGATGACGTAGTATGCTTGAAATAGTGGCTCTGCAGCAGCTTTACTCGCGATTGAGAAACACCCTTGGAGTGTTTACACATTACGTGAGTAGCTATGACGTCAGAGGGAGCTACCGTAAATGAGAACTGTGCCATAAGAGGTGTTTTTAGGACTTCTAAACTAACGATTACAGCTGTTTATAAGGTATTAAATAGAAAGTCATGACAGAGATAAGGAGGAGAAAATGCTGAAGGAAGTAGGCAGAGAAAACCAAATGTCGAAATCATCTGGTCTCTCGCGATATCGAACCCACAGATGAGAAGGGAGGTCCCACTATCTGCACAGCGGGGGACAACGAGACGTGCATAAAAACAGAGGACAGAGGACAATTCAGCCTCTTTCCTTCGCTGCAGCCCACCCTGAAGACATCACCGGCTTTGTCTCTCCATTACCCATGCTTGTTCTTCAACCACGTTACTTAATTAAACTACCCATTTGAACCTTTTCAGAGACTCCATTAGTCTCGTTATTTTAAGTTTCTTTCCTGGGAGCGAGAAGATCACGAATTATCAACAGTAACTTTAAACAATAAATAACAAACCAAATACAAGTTTAGTTTTTCAAATATTTTTTATATAACTTTCGATTGAATTGATTGATTTATTTTAACATGTTAATAAAAGGAAAAGTAATCATACAAATGTTGATACAATTTCATACATCTTAACAATCAAACACAGGGTAAATTCAACTTTAAATGTAGCCTACAATGAGCTCTTATTATCAACTTGGCCTACTTTCATTCATTTCTCCATTGAAAAACTGGCTCAACTTACCCCAAGGCCCACGGTTCACTTTACCCCATAGCCACCATTTTAGAAAAAATTGCCTAGCATTACAATTCAGAGTAATCTTTAGCTTAATGACTCACATGGTTTAATACGCTGCCAACATATACAATATATTTGTTTAAACCTGGATACATTTTTTTTGACATGACAGCCGATATAGCTGACATCTAGAAAATGTACTTTGACAAGCAAAAAACGTTTTTTTGTAAAAATGTTTACTTACCAGACCACAATGAGCATCTCTCTTTCACAGGCAATGAGAAATGGGAGAAGCTTGCATAATTTCTGGTCACGTGATTACAACAATAAGGCGTTGCCTGGTTACAGGGGGTGGTTCAATTTACCCACCTGCTCAACTTACCCCCTTCTCCCCTACTCATTGTTCCCCGGCTCAGAACCAAACACACCGAAGCTGCTTTTAGTTTTTATGCTCCCCACAAATGGAACAAACTTCCAGAAAACCCGAGGTCTTCACCAACGCTGAGTTCTTTTAAGTCGAGGCTAAAAACACTACTTTTTAGAGCTGCTTACCCAGAAGCCTTTGTTTTAGCATGCACTTAGCGTATACAATGTCGTTTTTAAACTATTTTGTAGGCCTATCTCATTAATGCAGGGGTCTCCAACCTTTCTTCATCTGAGAGCTACTTTCAAAAAATGAAAGTGGCCAAGAGCTACTTGCATCACATCGCTTACATTTATTCACATAGCCCTCATCAGTTGAATTAAGCTATACCTTTGTACACGTGTGAAATTGCAATACCTAAAGCTTATCAAAAATAAGGTCCAAGAAAACGAAGATTTCTCACATATTATTATGGCCCACATAATAAGTACATCACTGAACATTCACATAAGTGTCCTTAATCACCACCTTACAAGCATTTCACTCTTTTTTTAGTGAGATGAATGGCACTGCATGCAGTCCACCATAGAGGTGTATGCTGGACCCACTTAGGTTCACTAATAGAGTCATTTAAATGTTCATCAGTCGGTCTTGTTCTGTATTTAGATTTCATTCATGTCAGAAAAAGCTGCTTCACAAAGGTATGTAGAACAGAACCAAATAAAGCAGACATTTTCAGTGCTGCTTGGTGAATGTTCTTATAGTTTTCTGGGTCTACAAGGCTCCAGAAATGTTGTGAGTTTTGCTGAGACTTAAGCTGAACATTATTTTGGAGATCTCCACAGGATTGACACTGAACAGTTGTTCAGCCATCTTTTTCTTCTTCTTCGTCTTGACATTAAATTATAAACCATAATAAATCAATTGTATAGGTCTAGCCTCCGTATATCTGTGTGTGAAAATGGTTCCATTCTCAAAAACAAAAAACTAATACTTCTGCTCTGCAGTCTAGCTGCAGCTTCTAGCTACGGTCTTCTGTTAAAAAAAAGACACTGAATGTCTTGAATGTGGCATCACACACATGACTTGAGTCTGAAAACAGCAGGAGTATTTACAATAGCATTATAAAAACAAAAATAGTGCATGTGGGTGCACACTTACATTATCTGTCTTACTGTTACATAAATCCCATGAATGTATGAGATTAAGTTAGCTTCATCATATCTCAATCAGTGATTAAGTGAATAATAAAGTTTCTATCGGGTCACTATCAGCCTGTCACTCATTATTTTCAGGGAGGGGGCGGGGTTTGGAGGAACGGAGAGGAGACGGTGATCGCGGAAGCTTTCCTCCTGCCTTCACAAACTTTACACAAGTATTTATCAACTGAAAATAGCAAGAGGACATTCATACTCTGCAATCCAAGACTTGATTAAATCCACCAAAAACCTGACATGACGATAACGAGTGTTTTTCAAAAAACACAAATCCCTCCCTGTGTGTCTCTGAGGCGCAGCGACAGGGCCTGATTCAGAGCGGGTCATTCTGCTGTTGGTTCTGGACTGGTGTTGGTGGAGAAAGCAGACTGCTCCGTGTGTGATGTCGCTGTGCTGCTGTCACGTCTGTTCCTTGATCTCTGCGTCACCGACCATTTGATATTCATGTGACAGAAAAAATTCTAAAATAAAAAAACGTTATGGTCCAGCCGCGGCCGAAAAATCAATAAGCAACCTTACTACGCTATAATCGATAATCGAGCGGCGAGCTACTGAAAAGCTGCCCGCGAGCTACCGGTAGCTCGCGATCGACGTGTTGGAGAGCCCTGCATTAATGCATTGTTTTTATGAATCTGTTATTCCATTATGTTTATTTATTGTGTTCCTCTCTGTTCTCTTACTATTATGTGTTAATGATCATGTAAAGCACTTTGAATTGCCTCTGCGTCTGAAATGTGCTATATAAATAAACAGGCTTAACCTTACCTGTGTATAGCCTATATGCACACAGGTGAGTATATACAGGTGAGAATATGTACAGGTGAGTATATACAGGTGAGAATATACTTTATACAGGTGATCATTGACTGTATACAGGTGGGTGTTTCCAGGTGAGTAGTGTTTTTCCGAATAAAGGAGGAGCAGGTAGCTAGGTGCGGTCAGGGTGACCGGAAGTAGCGCGGCGGTGTGACCTGTGCACAAGGTGTTCTCCAGGTATTCACATTTATACACTAATGAGTTTAATCAGTATTCACTGAATATAATGTTCTGTGCTCGTGTTTTCATATTAAAGTGAATCCTCCAATGAGCATTTCCGGGAGTGATGTGTTGCCTGCCCTATACTGTTTGAAATGTGAGATGTTCGCTGACGAAATTGAAAGTGAAAGTAAGAGAGCGGCAAAACGTGGGGGACATATCACGGCGAAACTGACTTCAATCTCTATCTCTTTGTCTTGTCTCTAATCAATTTTTTAAACGAAATCTTTATCTCTACACCTTATTTAACTCTATTCTTCTCTGCAGTCTTCACGGACTACAGTTTGCGCGGTTTGACGGGTCTTTGTCTCTGAAGCAGCACGATGGGTAGGTTCAATGAGCGAGCTATAGAACATAATATATAATAATAATATCATATATAATTATTCTTATTATCATGAGAAAGTCTGTTCTGTTATGTAAATGTGTAAAAAGTGACAGGTTTGTGTTTCACACACAGACGCTCTGATGCTGATGGTGTTAGCGGTGTGTGTGTTCTGCTGCCAAGCTGCTCCTGGTAAGTTTGTATGAAGTAGCATGATGTGTAGAAGTAGGCCTACTACTCAGATCTTGTACTTAAGTAAAAGTAGAAGTACTCTGAGACTGTTACAAGTAAAAGTCCTGCATTCAGAATGTTACTGAAGTAAAAGTACACAAGAACATCAAAATATACTTATAGTACCAAAAGTGAAAGTATTAACTTTGCAGATCAGCCCATTTCAGAATAATATATATTAGGTTTTGATTATAATTATGTATGCTGTGTATGTAATGGTGCAGCTAATTGTAATTTGTATGCTGCATGGTAGCTTGTGATTTCACTTCAGGTGTAACTAAAGTCTTATTTAAGTGTTGATATATTTCACAACATGATTCAAAATCTGCAAAGTAACTTGCGGTATAATACATGTAGTGGGGTCAAAGTACACCATTTACCTCTGTATTGTAGTGGTGTGGGAGTAAAAAGTGGCAAAACATTTAAATACTTCAAAAGTAAAGTAAAAGCCCCTCAAAATTGTACTTAAGTACAGTACTTGTGTTACTTTACATAACTGGAAGTAGCTAAGCTTAGAGTATTTATATGTCCTTCAAATATTGAACATATTTAGTACTACCTTTTTTTTTTTGGTGAGATTTTATGGATTGCTAGGGGGATTCCACAGTTTGCACAGATTTATAAAGCTGATGCACACATACAATAATATCGTATATTCTGCAGTATGTGTTGATGGTTAACATGTTGAATGCAGGTATTAAATGGTGTTAGTCAAACATGTGATGAACCTGTGTGCTGTGTTTCCTATGTGTCAGTGTCCAACAGCCTGCAGGTGGGGGGGTCTCCGGTCTCGGTGCACCTTGGACACACAGCCACCCTCCCCTGTTGGCTCTCCCCCCCCCAGAGCGCCGAGCAGCTGGAGGTGCGCTGGTTCCTCCCGGGAGAAGGCTTCGACTCCCCGGTGCTGCTGTACCAGCGGGCCCAGCTGGAGCACGGCTCGCAGGACGCCGCGTACGCCGGCAGGGTGTCACTCGGCCTGAAGGACGCAACGTCCAGCGGGCTGCGGGAGGGGGACGTGAGCCTGAAGCTGGCAAACGCCACGCTGCAGGACGCAGGAGACTACAGCTGCTACGTCAGCAGCGACAAGGAGTACGACACAGCCACCGTCAGCCTGGTGGTGACAGGTGAGTCCGGGAAGGTGGAGGAGACCGCAGAACCTGCAGACCTCTAATCCTCTGCTCTTCCTCCTATAGAAACCGGGACCCCCCCTCTGCTGTCCGCAGTGTGGATACCGGGCGGTCGGGTGAACCTGAGCTGTGAGTCCGAGGGTTGGTCTCCCCGCCCAAGCCTGCGCTGGGCCGACCCCCTGAAGACCCTCACCCCGCAGAGCCTGCAGTACAGCACCGCCCCCTCCGGCCTGGTGTCGGTGCATAGCTGGATCCTGCTGCCCGCCTCCACCCGGGTGTCCTGCTGGGTGGAGAAGCAGGAAGTCCGGCTGCAGCTGCAGGAGCCCCCTACTCCTCCTCAGGGTGAGAACAAGGGGGTCTCTAGGGGGGTTCAATGAATGCAGCAGAAAAATGCACAGGGTGGGATATTACAGGAGGTCAAATTTGAATGCAATTCTAACATTTGCATTTTCACCTGCTCATATGACCATATACAATTTAAACTTCACAGACAGGTTTTTAATATCTGCAGAACAATATTTAAATCCCAGTACATCTCCTGTGTTTCAGGGTCGGGGGGCGGAACAGCAGCAGGGTGGGCAGCATTCGGGCTCCTCCTCTCCGCAGTGCTGCTGGCAGCTGCATTTCTGCTCTATAGAAAAAGAGGTACCTCTTTATTTCTAACGCATCATTGTTATGTTATATATAATAAAAATGATATGCTGAAAATGATCTGTGTTTCAGGAAAGAAAGCCAAATTGTTCGTTGAGGGACCGGGTATGAAGCATTGAACACATTATCATTATTATTTATTTCACTTACACAACACTTTGGTGTGTTCATGAAATGTTAATTAAATTAAATGTAGTGTTGGTTGTATCTTTGAGTATGTGCCACAGATTGACACTTGTTTGTGCTTTATTCCCCAGAGAATCTTTATTCCCCAGAGAATCAGAAACTTCTACCAAAAGGTATGAATAAATTACAACAGACAAAAATATATTATTCGGCTGTATTGATGACAATGATATTGTGTTACAGGCAAGATCGAGCCAACACTGATATCAACAGCCCAACAGAGCTACGGTAAGGACTCCACAATGTATTAATGTTATATTATTATAATAATTATCTTTGTGCTTACCCTCTGTGCTTTAAAATCATTCAACAAAAGTCCTGATCATAACCGATATAATCCTCCACCTTTAAACCCTTTCAATGTTTGATTAAATAATGCCACAATTATTTTCTGAAACTAGAAGTCAGTCTGTTCTGATTGGTTAGCTGGGCGGTTCTGTTGTGATTAATCAACCGCATAGAGATGTCCCTCCCCATTGATGCCTCTTAAATTGGACATGCACAAAACCTATAGAACAACCTACAGGAGGAGGAACACCACAAAGAGAAGAATAGGGCCTCTTTAATAAAAAATGAGGCACACACTGAGTCACACTGACACTGCTTTCCATTTCCCACAGTTAATGTGAAACCAGAACATGATGGAAATGAGTACCTCAAAATTCGGGACAATAAAATCAGAGACCTGCAGAGGGAAGAGACACCGTCACCTGATCTCCCCAATGGAGATCAGGTGACCTGTCTCACCTGTCTCACCGCCATCACCGGGACACCCCCCCTCTCCTCTGGACAGCACTACTGGGAGGTTTCTCTGGGGCATTCGACGGTGGGGCTGAAGCAGTCCTGGTGGGTGGGAGTGACGAGTACAGCCTCCATCCCAGCAGACTCGCACCTCACTCCATCCTCCTCCAACGGGTTCTGGTTCCTATCCTCCTCCTCCACCAGCCTACAGCTCAGCACAGAGCCATCGGTGCTGCTGCCCCCCCCCGGGCCGCAGACCCTCGGGGTGTTTCTGGACATTGACCGGGGGAAGCTCTCCTTCTATAACGTGGAGGAACAGAGCCTCATCTGCAGCCTCACCGCAGCTTTCACAGGGCCGCTGTTCCCCCTGTTCAACCCCGGGAAGGGCGACAAGGCACCCATGGTGTTATTACAGAGGGAGGTGGAGTCTGAGCAGGGGGGGGGGCAACACTGAGGTGTTCTGTGAAACTGAAGCGGCACACGATGGAGAAGCTTTACAGGTTAGGGAGTGTGGTGAGGTGCTATAGCTGTAGTCAGAGCGGAACTACATTTTCATGTTTTGATTAATAATAATAATGAAGAATATACATTTTTACTTTGAGGTGCAGCTTGATAAGTCCTCTTCGGCGAACATGTTGTTCAGTTAACACTCCATAGTTCCGTCCATCCTCTGCATGTACCCGCTGATAAGATAAGATAGTACTTTATTGATCACAATTTGTGATATTAAACACTGTTATGAATATCTTTTAATATTTGTGTGAATAAACTCAGTCTGCATGTGTTCATTCCAGTTCTCTGTTTCACTCTTTAAAAAAAAAAAACATGTCATAATGTGGTACACTTTAATAAGTAGAGGTAGTATTTACAGTATGTACACCATCAACACACACTGCTCTGCCGTCACTAATACTCTTCATATGAAGTATTTACACTATGGGTCAAATCATCTGAAATATAGATGAAACTCTGATATGCAGTAAACACAGGTCAGCGGGCATCCGTACAGAATGCATCACAGGTGCATCATGGTCCAACAACACTGTGTGGGCAATAAAACAATGTCAGTCAATATAAAAACAACATTTACACGTGGACACACACACACAGAGTGTATGCAGTGTGTGAGCTGATGCACGGAGAGCTGCACCAATGATCTCTCCATTGTTTTCGTCTCCTTATAATAAATCCTCAATTCGAATTTGGACTTCTAAAGCCTCTGGAGTGGGGTGCACCAGCTGGGCGTAACTCTACGTCCGACGTAGAACCGAAGGTTAAGACCAAACTAAAGTTATGACTAGTGCACCACTTAGACTTAGGTGCGTTGCGCCTGGGTGTGACTTTTACGCCTAGTATGGAGCAGGCGTAATTCGGAAAGACAGACTAGTATCCATAGTAACGTAAAACAGGCAAGAAGGATATTAACGATGGCAGTGCGTCTTGTTTACAGGTTTAACAATGAAAGGGCATTAAGAAGAGAAAGTCGTCCGTGATCGAACAAACCCAATGGACATCTATTCGGACAGTGAGCTGATAGAGGTTTCGTTTCGGCAGACAAGCCCTTTTTGAATGAACTTTTTTACGCCCAGCTGGTGCACTCCACTCCTGGAGTTACTGGAAATGTCTCAAAGTATCCTGTGCTGCCCCCACTGGAATATAACAATATAACAATAATATATATAATATTAATGTAGCCGCATCTTTTTTTGAACTGGCCGACAGGTGCAAACGCCCAACAACGTCCCGAAACATGGACAATAGGAGAAACACTGCAAATCAAAAAAGACAAATGTGCCAAACCACATGCAAATGAAGAAACAACAATGTGCATGTGTTTTGGAACATTAGTGTTTATTATGTGCATCTTTCTGAAGCTGCAGTGTGTTTCCCGTGATGGAAATGTTCTGAGCCGCTGTAGCGCGTTTGCACCCGTCGGCCTCCGTAGACCCTGTGCACAGATCTGCACCATCAACACACATGCAACAATAAACTCCTGCAGCACGAGGAAGATGGTTGAGAGTTTTGAACAAATGATGAATGAAGCTCCAAAGAGTTCTTGGTCCGAGCTCCTCCACCTGCTGCACCGTCCCACACAGTGTGAAGTCAGCGGGACGACAACAACAAAAAATAATCTCTAAGACGCATTCACTGGACTCATATTCACAGGTTACACCCATCTGATCCATCACTGAGACCCCCAACAGGAAGTCCTCCCTCTGCTGGTCTGTACATGAGGGTGGGGGTCAGTGTCTCCTCCACCATGTCTGCTGGTCTGTACATGAGGGTGGGGTTCAGTGTCTCCTCCCCCTCCCTCTGCTGGTCTGAACATGAGGGTGGGGTTCAGTGTCTCCTCCCCCCTCTCTCTGCTGGTCTGTACATGAGGGTGGGGTTCAGTGTCTCCTCCCCCCTGTCTCTTCTGGTCTGTACATGGGGGTGGAGGTTTCAGAGGGCGGCGCTCTCCCTCCGCCCCTGCTTCTTCAGCAGCTGGATGCGGTTGTGGACGTAGAACTTGATGGACCTCCAGTCGCGCTGGTTGCTGACCAGCAGGGGGCAGAGCTCCAGGCAGCGCTCGCAGTCCGCCTTGGCCGGGACCCGCAGCTCCATCAGGTTCCTCTTCAGGTGCGTCTCCACCGCCACGCGCTCTGCCTCCGACCACGGCCGCTTCAGCACCCCACGCTTTCCTGGGACAGGTGGAGCAGAGTGAGAGGTGGACATAGGGAGAGGTGGAGCAGAGGAAACAGGTGGAGCAGAGGGAGAGGTGGACCGGGGAAGAGGAAACAGGTGGAGCAGAGTGAGAGGAAACAGGTGGATCAGAATGAGAGGAAACAGGTGGAGCAGAGGAAACGTGGAACAAAGTGAGATTGAGTAGGTGGAGCAGAGTGGGAGGATACAGGTGGAGCAGAGTGAGAGGAAAAAGGTGGAGCAGAGTGAGAGGAAACAGGTAGAGCAGAATGACAGGTAGAGCAGAGTGACAGGTGGATCAGTGACAGGTGGAGCAGAGTGACAGGTGGATCAGAGTGACAGGTGGATCAGAGTGACAGGTGGAGCAGAGTGACAGGTGGAGCAGAGTGACAGGTGGATCAGAGTGACAGGTGGAGCAGAGTGACAGGTGGAGCAGAGTGACAGGTGGAGCAGAGTGACAGGTGGATCAGAGTGACAGGTGGAGCAGAGTGAGAGGAAACAGGTAGAGCAGGTGTAGAAGTAGTCACAAGCATACCTGATTTCGTTGGAGTACATCTTTTCTTGTGGCTGCTGGCTATAGAGGGGCTGACGGAGGGGGGTGGTGCTTTCTTTTTTCGGGGTCTACCCGGTCCTTTCCTCTTCACCATCACCACCTCCACCTTCTCCTTCACCTCCTCCTTTTCCTCTTCCACCTCTGAATCTGAGAAGGAGTCTGCAGAGTTTCCTGACATCACTGCAGGAGGAACAGAACAGAGGACAGCTGAAGGAGGAGGAACTTTACAGGTGGAGGAGACAAATTATGGAGACAGGTAGAGGAGACGGAGACACAGACAGGTGGAGCAGACAGGTGGAGGAGACAAATGACGGAGACATGTGGAGGAGACATAGACACATAGACAGGTGGAGCAGACAGATGAAGGAGACAGATGATGGAGACATGTGGAGGAGACAGAGACACATAGACAGGTGGAGCAGACAGATGGAGGAGACAGATGACGGAGACATGTGGAGGAGACAGAGACACATAGACAGGTGGAGAAAACAGATTATGGAGACAGATGGAGGAGACAGATGATGGAGACAGATGATGGAGACAGGTGGAGAAGACGGGTGGAGGAGACGGAGACCCTCACCATCCAGCTCCAGGCAGATGTGCTGCAGGCTCATCCCGCGGAACAGTACCCCCTCCTTCTCTCCATACAGCACCACCCGGCCCACCCGGCCCATTAGGGTGGGGTCCTGGAGGAGGGTGGAGCAGTTCTGGGTGACGTGGTACTCCCGCTCCAGGAACTCCTCCAGCCGTTTGGCGCCCCCCCCCTCGCCCTCCTCCAGCAGCAACAGCTGGGTGAGGATGGCCACCTGCCGCCGCACCCGCGCCCCCGTCAGCGCCCCGGGGTTCTTGGCCCCGCTGGACCGGGCCAGGTTCCTCAGCAGGTCGGTGCCCCGCAGCGGGGTGGCAGGGGAGTGGTATGGCCGGGAGAAGACGTAGGGGCTGTCCGGGTCCACCCCCACCCCCGGGCTGGTTTGCAGCAGCAGGTCCAGGCAGGACTCGCAGTGGGGCGGCAGGATCAGCGGCTGCAGGCGCCCGCGCTTCCCCAGGACCCCCGCCCGCGGCAGCTGGCACAGCACGAGGCGCTCAAAGGGAGACAGCAGGGCCTCCATGCCAGAGGGGGGGGTGAGGCCGGGCGGGGGGGTGGTGCGGCTGCAGTAGTCCTGCACGGTGAGCTTGGCCACCTCACACTCGCGGTGGCGGTTGTAGAGGATGAGCAGCGACAGGCTGGAGTGGCAGAGGAGGCGCCAGGCCTCCGCCGAGTGGGGGGAGCGGGAGAGGGAGAGGAAGGAGGAGTGCTGCTGCCGGCGGAGGTACACCACCAGGGTGGAGAGGGAGGACAGCAGCGGGGACATTTGGTGTCTCTGCGGGCTGGAGAGGACACACACACACATTAAAGAGCAGCAGAAACACACCCAGCACACATATCAACATAGACCCCCCCTCACCTCAGGAGCGCTCCGTTCTTCTCCTCCGCTGGGTCTCCACTCAGGTCCAGGTCCTCCTCCGGGTCTACGTCGGGCTCAGGGGTCGGAGGTGGAGCCAGCTCCGCCAGCTCCTCCTGACTCTTCGAGCTCTCCACCTCCACCTTCGGCTGCTCTTCATTCTTCTCCCTCTTCATCCTCCTCCCCCTCCTTGGAGCAGGCGGGGGAGGTGATGGGGTCTTGACTCGTGTTGCTGCCGGCGGGGGGGGCGGGGCGCTTGGTGCCGCGCCGTGGTGCGCTGGGCGGTTTCTTGGCAGCAGCGGGCGGAGCAGAAGGAGATGGGGAGAGTGAGAGGGAGAAGGAGACGCCGCCGGGGTTGGACCGGGTCGATGGCGAGTCCCTCTCCCTGGAGAAGAGGGGGGGGGGAGGGCTTGAGGCTGCGGGCTGAGGGACGGCGAAGGAGTGTGAGGAGGAGGAAGCGGAGGAGGGATGTGGGGCGCCACTGTTGGAGCGCTGTGGGTGGGGCTGGGCCAACTCCATGGCGGCGCGCACCTCGGGCTGCGAGGCGTGGTGCTTCTCGAGGTGGCGCGCCAGAGAGCGGTAATGGCGGCCGCAGTACGGGCAGTGCTGCCGCCGGCTCAGCGCCCCCCCTCCAGAGCTGCCGATGTTAATGTTGATGTTGTTGTTGATGTTGGTGGTGGGGGGGGCCAGGGCGGGGGTCTGGGGTCTGGCACTGGCAGGGGGGGTGGCGGGCGGCGGGTTGGTGAAGGAGGAGCAGGGGGGCTCGCTCTTCTTCTTGGTCGTGACCTCCGCGGTGAGCTTGCGCTTCTTACGGCGGCGAAGCATCCGGCCCCTCATCTCCTCCATTTCCTCCTCTTCGTCGTCGTCGTCATCGTCGTCGTCTTCCTCCTCCTCGTCCTCCTCGCGGTCCGAGTCGCTAGGCTCAGAGTGGGTGAGCGGTGAGGAGGAGGGGGACAGGGACCACGAGGGGGTGAGGTAATCAGAGACAGAGAGGGACAGAGGGTGAGGGCCCGCCTCTTCCTCCTGCATAAACGCATTTCAAAATAAAAGAACGTCAAAATGTAGCTGTAGCAGCATACAAGTTATGTAGCATATATTTATACACATAAATGGCCTTTGTCACAATAAATATATTTAAATATATAAATCTGACCCACCATGGCGTTCTCCCCCCAGTCCGTCAGGCTGTAGTCCACTGTGATCTCCTCTCCCTTGGCGATGTCTCGGATTGCTATGACAACCAGCCTCACCTGCGTCCCACAATGCACCTCTCTGATGCGGCAGTTTGGGGGGGGGGTGGAAAAGGACCGGCCCTCGGACGCCACTCGCTCCTTCCTCCCCCAGCTCTGGTACACTACAGACAGGAAGTCACATGACACAACATGCAGCATAGATAATGAAACCCATCAGACAGTAGTTTTGGGGGGGGGGGCCTGCTTACCAGAGCTGGGCGGGGTCTGGCAGGTAGTACGGGCTGCCAGGTGTGGGGAGGCGGTCCTCGGCCCCCTCTGGATACTGACCTTCACCTGGACAGAGAGATGGATCAGTGGTCGGGCTGTGTATTTATGTGCACTGTATGTATATAGATATACAAGTATAGATATATATGTAAATAGAAAGGAAAGTGCATGTACCTGGGCTGTAGCTATGCTCTGACATGCTCTCCTCCTCCTCATCTTCTGTCACATATGCCCGGTCACACACCTTCACCGGCGTCCCCTTCCTCTTCCTCCCACACACTCGCCTGAAACAGAAACACACACAATCAGAAATAAATCCAGCGGAGCAGAGAGAAATACCTGTGGCTTCAATCACATCTGTTCTCTACTGCTGTGGTTGCTCTTTCACATTATAACCTCTTAAAAACACAAGGAACGATCAGATTACACTATTATTTACATTATCACATATAGACGTCGTAGAGTATAGAAGAAAAGCAGCTCTCAGACCGGGTCAGATCATAGACTCTGGGTCAAACCACAGACCAGATCTAGACACTGGGTCAGATCATAGACTTTGGATCGAATCACAAACCGGGTCAGTGGACTATGGGTCAGATCACAGACCGGGTCGCAGACTATGGGTCATACCACAGACCGGGTCGCAGACTATGGGTCGGATAACAGACCGGGTCGCAGACTCTGGGTCAGACCGGGTTAGTGGACTGTGTTTTGCTGGTTCCTGCAGCTGGCTACATGCTAACAGTGATGCTAACCGCAGCTAGCTGTTAGCTCGGCAGCTAACGATGGGCTTTAACTGAGCGGCTGCGGACAAAGAGCTGCAGCAGGAGAAGCTGCACCTCCACCGGGAGAGAGTCCCGACCCCCGGCCTCCGTTTCTCCGGTGTACCACTGAAACCATGCATGCGAAGAAAGGCTCCTAACGTCAACCAAACAACCGTGCACGCTCGGAGCAGCGCGTGCGTCTTCTGCATTTCGCTAACGAACCCCCAACCCACGGTGAAGACGGGACACCAGAGGCTGCGGCCCGTCACACTCACCCCTGCGGCGGAGGCTTGCTCCCGTCCCCGTCGCTGTCCAGGGTCGGCGGCTCCCGGTAGTCAAACGGCGACCGAACATTCTCCGCCATTAGCGCGCTTCACTCCGTCCGAGCTGCAGCGCGCATGTGCAACACATCCTCCGGGCTCAGGGAGGCAGGGGGGTGCACATACAGTGTGAGGGTGCAGGGGCAGTGTAAAGGATGGGGTACGGGTACCATGCAGTATGAGGGTGCAGGGTGCAGGGGGGGGGGGGGGGTTAGGGTTAGGGAGGGGATATACAGTGTGAGGGTGCACACATCTGAGAAACATCAACACAACAACCACACACACACACTACACGAATGTACACGCACATATTGTATAACACGTTATTGTATCTTTCATGCATTCAAGTGTAAGTGAAGTTGTTAACCTGTATGATGCACATTAAATATATATGTTATAGTCTATATGTTAAATCTGGTTAAATAGATGGATATTTCCATCTGCTCTGTATCTGTGGTTTCCATTAGTCTCACAAGGAGGTTATACAGATAAGAAGTCAATGTATAATATTCAATATATAACTGCTCCATTTAATCCCAAGAATATATTCGAAAATGTTAGTATTTAATGAAATGACCTAATTTTGACTTACTAACCAATATCAATAATGTTGTGTTGGTATAATCGCTACCGTTCTGAATATATTCCTTAGAAAGGCAGAGAAAAAGTATTTTGTATTTATTGTGATCAGGTTAGCAGTGCAGTGTATAAAGAAGAGAAGTAGAGAGACAGACAGGTGGCTCAGACTGTTTAATGTTCACTGCACATCCAGGAAACAGCATCATCATCATCACTGCTGTGTCATGCAGTGAACACCACCTATTGTACTACAGTGAACTTCTAATATACATATGTCTTCAGAGAAAGAGGGTCCTACAGTTCAAACAGTGTAGCAGCATATTCAAGTATAACAGACACGTGAGGAATCATCCGATTACACGTGTTAATAAAGCTAATAAAAGGTAATAAACGTATGAAAACAACAGATAGAGTTAATAATGTTAATAAACATCACATGGCTGCCGGGTCACAGTATCAGTGTTTGGCTACATTCAGAGGTTAGTAGATCCAACGTCAGATTATCAGTCTACTTAAATAAGATAAATACAACATGTACAAAATAAACACCTCAGTCTAACTTCATAAAGCTTTACACAGAGAGGCTGCAGCTCGTTAATACTGGCTGGTGAAGCAGCGGGGAGGAGATCTGTGAGAGGAGCAGGAGTTAAAGCTGGTCAGGGAGGAGCAGGGTTAGTGGAGGTGGAGTTAAAGCTGGAGCAGCAGGGTTAGAGGAGGTGGAGTTAAAGCTGGAGGAACAGGGATAGTGGAGGTGGAGTTAAAGCTGGAGGAGCAGGGTTAGTGGAGGTGGAGTTAAAGCTGGAGGAGCAGGGTTAGAGGAGGTGGAGTTAAACCTGGAGGAGCAGGGTTAGTGGAGGTGGAGTTAAAGCTGGAGGAGCAGGGTTACTGGAAGTGGAGGAGCAGGGTTAGAGGAGGTTACAGGAGTTAGTCCTTGTTGTTGTTGCAGCAGCTCAGAGGTCTACGCCCCCCCCCCCTCTCTGTGTGTAAGGGTTACAGGTGACAGGAGTTACAGCTGTTGGTCCTTCATGTAGCTGCGGCTCAGAGGTCTGCTGCACCCCCCCTCTCCGTGTGGAAGACGTGCAGAGTCTCTGCAGCGTGGTCCGCCCAGTGATGCAGCTCCAGCAGGACCCGGTACGTCCACACCTTCAGACCAAACAGCCCCCCCGCTCCGTCAGGCTCCTGCAGGAGAGGAGGAACATGCATTACTTTATGGAGCAGTAAACAGGAGGAGTAAACTGCAGAAACATTATTATTCATTGGTATTTGTTTGATGATGAGCCAACGTACGCAAGTCTACATTTTCTGCTCTGTTTTATGTCTCCACCATCTCTTCTGTGAATTTCACGAAAAATAAAAATATAATAAAACGTTTTAAATTAGCCAGTTTAGCCCCTGTTATACATCCTGTCGATCGCTTATAATAAATATCATTTAATGTTAAATGATCTGAAGTTATCCATTACACACACACACACACACTACAAGAAGCCGCTCAGCTAGAAAACATGAGCCATGTTTGTTTGTAAACAAATCTCTGTAATCAGTCCCTGAGATGTTTACAGCGTGGGCTCGTGAGCAGCGATGGATATTCAGGAATTACGTCAGTCCATCTTCACACCCCAACAGCTGGGTACATTTCAGGGAACATGTTGGTACGGCTGAGAGTGAGAGCAGGAGATTTGCAGGAGACAGATAAAGGTGACATGCCCCCCCTCCGCTCTTTGTTAGGTTAAACTTCTCAAAAACGACTTTAAGATATACACACAGTACATTATGAGTGTGTGTGTGTGGTGTGTGTGTGTGTGTGTGTGTGTGTGTGTGTGTGTGTGTGTTACCTCGGTGCCCTGGTGGTCCGGGGTGACCTCCAGGGTGGTGTCTGGGCCCTCCAGCAGTCCTCTTGTGCTGAGCAGCAGGTGCTCCAGACGGTGGCGCACATTCTTCTTCAGGGTCTCATAGTCTTCCTCTTGCTCCCCCCACTCCTCCTCTTCCTTCAGGAGGACACTGTGAAGGAGGCCCAGGCACTGTCGCAGAGCGGCGTGCAGCCGCTCCACCTGCTGCTCTCCGCTCGCCTCCTCCTGCGGGACTGGGGACGGAGACACCATGCGTCCTCCGTCAGGGGAGTAGCTCGACAGGAAGGACTCCTTCTCCTTCTGAGAGGAGACAACGAACAGCTGGTTAGACAGACAGACAGACAGACAGACAGACAGACAGACAGACAGACAAACATGCAGCTCAGAGACTCCTTACTGAAACACCCAAACCATAAAGAGAAGGGGACTGGGCAGGAACGACAGCAGCAAAAACCAATACACTCTATTCATTTTGGGGAGGGGGGTCACACTGCACCACAACATCATTAAAAAACACGACAACAACACACTACTGAGAGTGGTGGTGCAGCTCTACAGGAAATCTCCACATATGTGTGTAATATAGAATGTATAAAGGACTCACGTAGAGCTGCAGCAAAAGCCCGCACTCATGGTGCAGCAGCCGGGCTATAGACACTGCTCTCCCGGTCTGAGTCGGGCCGGGCAGCGGTGAGTCCAGCGCGGGGCTCTGCTCCGTCTGCTCCTGCTGCTCGTCCTGCTCCAGGTCTGCCATTTCCTCTCCACAGGTAATTCAGGAGAGAAATCCCCCCAGATAACGGAGTTATTTTCCGGTGTATAGCGGCGGTAGCCCGGAGCGGAGGCCGTGGCAGAGCGTCAGTGCAGCGGTTGCATGTCGGTGCTCCTGTCGGGAGGCGCCCCCCGCCACTCCGGAGCTCTTTGGTTCCGCCGGACCCGGGGGCTCTTTAGGGGGACGCACAGGAATGCTGCTCTCCCAAATACAGTTAAAATACATTCAAATATATGGCCTTATTGTTAAGATTTCTCTAGTAAAGAGAGTTTTCTCATTAATGTTGAAAACCATTATACACAATATGAATGAAATAAAAATACTGAGTATATTAACATGTTTTTGATTTTCTGTAGTTTCTGAGTTCATCCTCTCTCATAACTCATAACTGATAAAGATGCTGACTAAAAACTGAGAAAAACTAAACAGTTTAAGGTAGAAAACAGTAAAATTATAGAACATATTACCAAAAGTTATTAACATCAATAATTTGCATTGTCTGCAATGTATAGGCTACAGTCTAGTCTGCAACAGTCAAATGCTGCTTGGTGCAACAATATTAATAATCAGATAATGTCATATAATGTCATATATTTCATAATAATAATATCTATATATATATACAAATTTGTACTTTTACTTTTTATTCTTTAAGTACATGTTCTCTTCATAATTACTTCAGACTGAAGGACCTTTATTTGATATAGAGTACATTAATGCACTTTTACCTCAGGAAAGGGTCTGAATACTTTGATCATATTCCAGTAATTGAATATATATGATTCTGAAATGAGTCTTTAGCATAACAACTACGTTTACTTTTATTATTTTAACTGTAATTTGATGCTTGAACTGTAACTCAAGTAAGATTTTGAATCCAGTAGCCTACTTTTACTTATAATGGAGTATTTTGACATCAGTGTACTTGTACTTCAGTAAGACATCTGAGTACTATAAAATAAAGTGATCATGAAGAGAGCAGGCCGGGGATCTATTAATTTGTGGATGAGTTGTAAAGACACTGCATATAGCTGTAAACAGACTAAATATATATTACGTTGGTTTAAACAGGAACACAATGCATTTATCATGTTCTTTCATATTGGTTTATACATGAAAAACTTTATACAAGAACAGCATTGTTTGAGGTTATTATAGTGTAATCTGTTATTATGCTTGTTATGTTTGCTTCTCTAATAAGCTAAGCTCATAACTCAAATCCACTAAAGATATTTCCCTCATAAAACTGTCAAAAATAAATATTAAACAGGGCTGTCAGCAGCTCAAGTCTGTATGGAATTGGCTCGGGAACCGAAAGATCGCTGTTTCAAGATCTGATCGGAGCAAAAATACGGAGTGTGGGCTGTGTATTATCTCTGAGCCCCCTCATCTCTCACACCTCCTGCAGATGGAGCAGAAGGAGATGGAGGTGGAGGAAGAGAAGGCCTTGGCTTCGTTCTCCTTCATGTGCCCGTTCAGCTGCAGATCTCACAGCTGCCACAGGAGGGAGACACTGAGGAGCTTCTCAGAAAACAACACTTTTATTTAAGTAAACAAAGTCATATACCGCGGTGTAAAATACTGCCCTGTATTTAAAATGTTACTAAAGTAGCGCAGATAAATTTTCTTTAGGCTTAAAGTATAAGTGCTTACTCTGGAGTGAGAGATTTAGAAATATGCAGCATGCTTCATCATACACTACAGGAGCATTTAAATATTGTCATTCCAATTGTTTCCCACACTATAGGAGCATTTAAATATTATCCTTCCAGATGCTTCCTACACTGTCGGGTATTCAACTGTGTTTAAATGCTCTTAACATATTAATACAAACCTTATCTGTGAAGCACCTGCAGCTGACAGCCGATTCTCTGAAAAGGTTAAGGTAACTTAAAGTGGACCTATCATGCTATATTATAATAATATAGTGTAGGACCATACCTATATAAGGCATATTTATACTTTACTTTATAATTTTTTTTCAAAATACCAAACAGATCATGCATTTTAGCCATGCCTCATTTCGCTCAAATTGCACTTTTTTACCCCTGGAGGGCTGATTCTGTGAGAACAGCACCACCTACAGGCCTGGCATATGTATTACAGCGTCTCCAGCGCTTTCGAACGGCAATGGCCGTGGCTGTCTCCTCCTGATTGGTGGAGTTGGCCCAATAGCCGTAGCGCCACTTTCCTGACGTCAGTAAAGTGTTCAAATCTGGATCAGTTTTGATCAGATCCGTTGCAGCCCCTTTTTTAGAGATTTGGGTATGGAGGAAAATAGAGAGGGTTGTGTTTTCTGACACTTGGTGAGTTCCCTGGAACACCGGGGACACATATTCATGTATAAAAGACGTACAAAAATGCATTTTGCATGATAGGTCCCCTTTAAGCAGTGACTCAGTGAAGATGGCCAGCAGCAAGAATCATAAAGCGCGGCATTTTAATCAGCACACACTGTAATACAGTAGAGGTGTGTGAAAGTCACTGGACTGCTTTTCTTGGTGTGAAGTCTCCGGCCACACGACATGCGAAACTCTCAATACTTAGAAGATTACTGGAAACTGATTTATCTCCCCGTTCACACAATCCAGGTGTGGTGCACCTGGGTGATGCTTGGCACGGATCAGCTGCTCTCGCAGGAGACACAGCCCAACCGGAGAATGCACACACCACACACACACACACACACACACACACACACACACACACACACACACACACATACACATACACATACACATACACATACACACACACACACACACACACACACACACACACACACACACACACACACAGACACACACACACACACACACACACACACACACACACACACACACACACACACAGTGGGGTGTTTTTTCACGAAACTGTGTCTCAGGGCTTCTTAATATTTAAAAACCTATTAATGTGTCATACCCATTTAACGGGAAGAAACTCAGCTAACTGACAATACGAACCATTTTTACCGAAACAAAACACAAGTCTCACAAGAAGCGTCTAAATGAGCCCTGAGCGAAAAAATGCTAACACACTTAGCACAGAACTCAAGGTAAAAATACCCTTATTACTTATCATAACTGCACAAACAAGATATCAGATTAAAGCTGAGATTCCACAGATTCTATAGGTATAAGTATCATCACTGAGCGATCAGAACTCGTGACAGGGGAAGCAAACACAGACGTCACAACACGTAGCATTACGGAACATTCACGGGAGATCGTCTCAAATTAGCTGTTATTCTGATCAATAGTCGTGTTCAATGGCATTAAAATGATAAAAACGCTGTTGAAGGTTAATCCATAGGTTAATCCAATGTGTCTGTGTCACGTTGAAAGGATTACTGATAATCCATCATTGCATTTTTATGTAAAAAACTGAGATTTCATATTATTTTTATTTTTCTAAATCTCTCTAAAGAGGTCAAATGTCACTTGTTTTGCATCAATCTTGATACAGGGTACTTATGATATGTTGTAGTTTGGATTCCTAAAGCTTCTAGTCTACCATCCCATCATTCAAGGGTGGTTTTCACTATAAGTAATGTTTTTTTTTTAGGCGGAGGTAAGAATTTACCTTTTTTTACAATGTTCCATCTGAATTTACTCTCACACAGAAACATCTATATTGATTCTGACACTTCTACATCCAACTCACAGATGTAACCTTGCTTTGAGAAAAAAGATTATTAATTTAACCCTTTTAGAAGTGAAGATATGGTCATTTGTTCCGGGAATGTCATTTTCGAGCCTAAGACCTGAAAAACAGGCTCAGGGCTTAATTAAACTGATGTTAAATACAGGAGGCAGTTTGGATTATATGGAGGATAAAAAGCCAGATGAGTGTTAAAAGCAGCCCTTTTTATATTTTTGTGCTGTTTCCTTTCCTGTAGTGTGTTCTATACACACAGAGCCGGCCAGCTAACCAATAAGAGCCGACTGGGCTCTGGTTTCAGACAAAGAGTGAAAAGAGGTGCTGCAGCACAGGCAGTATGAGAAAAATAAGGACCTTTTGAACATTAAAGCATGTCACAGTAGAGGCACAGAATACAAATATTAACCTGAATATGAGCTGAATATGTCATCTTTAAAACTGTGTTTAGGGCCGTCAGTGGAAGGCTGACCTGCAGATTAAGGCGCCGTTTAGACGAGGATAAAACGGCTTGTATCTGCATAGTTTCGCGTGCGTATAGCCCTATTATTTAGACGAGGCCGATAGAAACTGACCACACAAACGATAACGGGTCCCAAGGTGGATAGATTTGCAAACGAAACGCTCTGGGGGGTCAACCGAGTCCGTTTAATCGCCTCTATACGAATATTGCCTGAAAAAATAACGACAGCCCCGCCTCTTCGCACCTCTTCCCACCTCTCCCCCGCCTCATTGCTGATTTGTTTCTACAACAACAACAACAAGAATGGCGGATCACAGGGTTGCTGTTGTGCTCCAGACGCTACTGCAGGGTTGCCAACTCTCACGCATCTGGCGTGTGACACACGCTTTCACTCTCAACCTCACGCTCTCACGCTGCCCAAACTATTCTCACGCCAAAAACAAGAATACGAAGACTAGAAACGGTTTTGAAAACTTTTGTCACGTAGTGATCGTCTTCTCAATAGAACATCTTTGATAATGTCTTCTGGCCAATCAGAATCACGATAACGGCGTGGTGTTGTTGCAGGAAGTCCCGACGGAGAATACTTTTGCGGTAGTACATCTCTATACATCGACAGAACATTACGTGTTGATAGAAATCAACACGTAATGAAATAAGACCCCACGGTTTGATGATTGATAGGTGTGTGGGCTGTCTTTCATTTTGACACACAGAACAATGGGGGCTATCCACCCTTATCCACAATGTAAAGTAATTCACACAGCCTCTTCCCTCTTCTCTCTGTGAGGAGCAGCAGGTTCAGCTTTCAGAACAAAGTAACAAAAAACTAATATGGCATTCATTTTTTTAAATGTGTAGTAATAGATTTATTTATTTTTCTTCTCAAGAGAGTACCAAAATGTGTATTTTATGTTAGTATTTAAAAGAATCTCCTGGGGGAGAATCCCCCCAGAGCCCCCTGCAGGGGTTGGGTTTTCAGCATGTCAACTCTTTCGCCTGT